CCATGCTATGTTGTTTCTTGTATTGTAATTTTGAAATAAAAATTTTAGTTGTGGTTAAAATGATTGAGGCATTTACATAAAATATAGTGAGAATGAAAATCTGTTATTTAATGTTCCTAGAAAATTGACTGATTTTTTTTTGTAAAGGTTCTTGTAGAAATAACCTAATTATAAATACCTATGAGTTTAAATATACGTAAATGTAAAAATAAATCATACTTGAACCATATTTATATTTAAAACAGTTAATAAAAAACAAATCTTAATAATTTTTTGCAAATAAAAACTAACTAATCATATAATAATTTAAACCATTTAAACCTAAACATTTGATCGAAAGAAATAGTTCTGAACTACTTGTACGGTAGTGAACTAAGTGAACTAGTGAAAGACTGAAAGAAAACGGGCGGCTGGCGCCGAGCTTGTGTGATGATTGAGACGAGACATCTGGCAACCAGTTCTGTTAGGGTTGGATTTCGATGTCGGTCCTACAAATAGTTCTATTGCGAACTAGTTCACTGAACTAGTTCATTTTTGTGAAATAGTTCTGTTGAACTAGTTCGTCTAAAAGAACTAATAAGCACACCTCTAGTTCGCAGCCCAATTTGGCCAATGTTTGACGTCACCAAAAGTCACCATCGTAGAAGAACAGTCACCGTACACAACATTCAAGTACTCTATTTCGCTGCGCGATTTCCCTTCCAAAAACAGGACCTATCAAATCACCGACTGATATTGCCCCTTTTTACATTTTTCTAAAATACTTAAAAAAAACACTACCAAGCTACAAGTGCTACTACTAGTAAGAGTCCGATTCGACAGACTTTTTGACATTAGCATTCGACAAATTATCTACGATAATGTAGCTACTACACAATAGTAAAGCTCTCTTGTGATAGTAGGGCTTTCGGGCGGTGAATCTAATGAGCGGAACTCCGTCATATATTGAGGAGGATGAGGAAATAGTTGCAAATTGATTCAATAAACTTAAACATTTTAAACTTTTTTATTATTTAGCCTAGCTATTCCAAATATTTGCTAGTAATAATGCATACTACTTACATAGATTACTATGTTACTACAATAGAAATCATGGAGTCTAATATTCGTAGTTTTTTTACTGTCAGCACGGTTTAGTATATTTTGTAAAAAGTTTTTTCTTATTTTATTCTCAAATTATTGCATCAGTAGTTGCACATCCATAGATAGTTTTTTTTTTATTTTGTCCTCCCCTCGATAGTTTTATACTTAGTAAAAACCAAATATATGGTAATTAAGTAATTAAGCATTTTAAGTGAGTCACCCTGCTCCTAGGACGACAACAGAGACAGTAAGGCTTTAAATTTATCATATATGAGATATAAAAGTACAAAGTAGAATTTAAAATATAATCAAATAATCCAGAATAATCAAATAATAGTGTTAAAGTAACTCACAACATAAATAATTCATCACAATTTTAATTGTTTTAAAATTGCTTTTCATAATCTTTTTTATTTATATTCTGTCAGTATATAATATGGTAATTTTCTTGTAAATTGAAACGTGTGGATGATATGCATGCATTGTGTATATAAGACTGATTTTTAATGACAAATGAGTTTAAGAGAGTTCGTTTTACAATATGTACAAAAATTGAGTAAAATAAAATTAGAAAAACATATTTATATTCATTATAGTATATATTTTTTTACAACAGGACTAATAGTGGAAATATTTCACCTGAATATAATAATATAATTATTTTAAATCTAGGTATTTTCGATAAAATCAGAGATATTAATAAACAATTAAGAGCACAGTACTGGTCCCTTCTGTATAGTGTTCTTCCTGTTTTTTTGATATCTTTGTCGATTTAACCTTCTGAATTACGTGGCTGCCTTTTTCTTCGGAGTCCTACTGCCATTCGTTCATTTTCCCATCGATTACTTAATTACGTATGCGTTGCCTGCCATTCTTTCCATAAGTTGACTTCATCCAATTATTCTGTTTCTAATCGACTGGTTTATTTCTTCTATCTCACTTCTACCTCGTTCTAATTTCCTTCCTTCTTATGCTATTTCTCAACGTTTAGTTTGATATCTTTTGTAATATTTTTATTTCCCGTCTGTTTACCTTATTAATCTGTTTTTTAGTATGTTAACTGTTCTGTAGATTAACAAATCCACTTCCATCAGTAGTTCTATAATTTTTTTGTTAACAATAAATCTACATTTTCTTGATGTCACTAAATTATAATTTTAGATTTTAGTTTTTTCTGTTAAAATCACCATGTCACTATTTAATTAGTCTCTATAGGTAATTTGCAGTCTCCACCATTCATAGTCATCGGAATATATTGTCTGGATATGCTGATCTTTTATATCCTTTTATATTTTTTTATTTCTTTACTATTTCGTCTATGATCTCATTGATTATTAGCGAACTCAGTAGTATCCAAAAAGAGTTAGCCGCCTCCGATCTAATACCTTGCAGTTACGAAAAATACGGTTGACTGTTTCAGGACTCTTTCACAGAGTTTGCAGCCAAAGTCTCTATGAAATAGCTTCATTGCAGGTATGCAGGAGTCAGTTGACTGCTGCAGGAAGCCTGTTATGATTCGGAGCTGACCCTGCTTGATTTCGGCAGTACTTCAGCCGTATCACGCGTACAGTGCTTTGTAGTACTCCTAAAGCCAACTCGAGGCCGAAGTATTTTATAGATGATCTTCTTTTAACAAGTTCATTAGCTGTCTCGTATTTTCCTCGATGACCTGCCACTAATACCAATCTGAAACTGTTATATTCCGCCAGTTTAACCTGATCTTCTCGGCGTTCGCTAATTAGCCTAGATACTACCCAAGGGCTCCTGAGATTCCCCATATCCGCATATATGTGCATATATTGATCCGCTTGAGTTCAAAAGCCCTTAATTTTTCTCCAAGTCGTTTAATAGAAATGCTGGCACTTCCACGACGACTGTAAATTCTTGCACCCGACCTGCACTTTTAGACCCCTATGTGTACCACATACAACCCTGTAGCCTGGCTTGTGTTTCTTCTACTCCATTCCCCTCATAGCAGGTGACTACCTAAAAAGTCACTATTGGCTTGTATTTGGGTACCACCTGGTCAGAAGTTATCATCCATACTGTATTCCCAATTTCCTGATCTAATCATTAAGTTACTCTCCTACTCTCTCTCCTCTCGCTTCTCTCTAATAATGATGTGCGGTACAGAAAGATCCAGCAGGGCCACAATTGCTGCTGTTGGTGTGCCTCTCAGAGCCCATGTTAATTTGAGGTTGACATCTTTGCTGTACTGGTGCATATGTTTTGTTGGTTTTACCATCATGTTGCAAATCCAAATAATGTGTAGTTTTAAACTCCATATTTTTCCATCTCTGCGTCTGTCTACTTTTAAAGTAGTCATCACAATAAAGGTCAGATCTCATACTGACATCGAAGGTTTTGAAATGTGGACATTACGGAAGCTTCCCTGAGTCCCATGGATATTTGATCACATCACAAACCAATAAATTTCGCAAAGAAACAACGTAAGTCTCATACTTTGGCCTCATTCTGAAAGGTAAATAATATTAACTATTAATTAAGATTAATACTAGTAAGGAAAATACTGGCTGAAACACATAATGAACTGCTGTGGAGTGAGGCATGTGGAGATTATATCCAAAGAAACAGAGAAAGACATATTCCATGACGTAAGACACTAGAAGAAGCAGAATAATCCGTTGTGGTAAAAGTCAAATACCCTGAATATGTGTAAAGTTGGATTGAAGATTCTCAATTGTGCAGTAATATTTTTATATAGATTTTATTTGAAACAGAAATTTCAAACTATACTTTTAGTTTACCTGTTACTTTAAATATATACATTGCCTTTAAGAGATTATTCATTCCTCCCGAATGATAGAGACTTTGGTCTGGTTAAGCGTGTATTACTTCGAACAGATCGCTATTATGAAAGAAGTCATGGAACTAATACTACGTCCTGGAAAGAAACATAACTTTTTCGTAAAACTAGCCTTATGGTAGCCCCTACAAAAAAATTACCAATTCTATTGAATGTATTGCTAACAAAGCACAAAGGAAAGAACCTTTCTAAAATTTCAGGATACAGCAAATTTGTATTTAACTCAAAAACAAAAGGTACTGTTACTGTTAGTAATTTTATTGGTGGCGCTTTAAGGAGTACGATTACTTTAAAAAGCCAGGGCAGTATGATATTCAACTACCTACTACTTAAGCTTATCAATCGAAGTGTCCCATTTTAAAGAAGACACTTCAGTACTTACCAGAAGACTTACTTAAATTATCATTCTTGAATAAAATGATGGACATACCGTCAATCAAACCACGTAAATCGACTTTCGGATTAGTGTCTTTTTCATTTTGAGTGAAAAGGTCAATAACCTTTTGGAGGTTATAATTAACCAATAATATATAAGGGTAGAAAATTCCAATGTCTGAGGTCAAGTCTGAGTTGCTTATATATTAAAGACTCTTAAAGAAACGGGCCATTGCCTTACATATTTGCAGTACCCTATTCCAAGCTAGTAGTATATTATCTATTCTAGAATTTGACATCGGGGGTATATTTCCCTTACTTTCCTTTCAATGTTAAAACATACCTTTTGTCAGCAACAATCGTGTAAAAAGATAAATGCTATTTGTTTTATCCAAATGAATTCTTCTTATTCACGTACCATGTCCTTTAAGAACGTTGGTTACCATCATTGCTATCTTAACTTTATTCTTTGCCACTCTAAATGGCATGCTTGTATCAATACCTTACCAATGTCGCAAGTTTTTCAACCATGAAGTCTTTCTTCATCCTGGACTGTGATTAATTCTTGAGTATTGTTTTATAACAATTTTATTTTAATATTTTTGTAAACTGTCTACTCATTTTTATAATAATACAAGTATTACATTGGCTCTATAAAACAATTTTAGTTTTTGTACCTGTTGTATAACGAATTGACTAATACATTTCTGTTTAGAATCGATAGTAATAGTTTTTTTAATAGAATTAGTTAGATGTTTAGAACATAATTTTGAATGTATTGTAGAAGACTTCTATCAGCAAGAACCTCAGTTTTCAATCGTCACACAAGAGGTTGTTGATCCTGTTACAGGAGCTAAGTAAGTAGAATATTTAGTGTAGTTAAAGATAAAGGGCTAACAATTAGCGTACCTAAATATATCAATACCGAGTGTTTTGATCAATCAGAGTTTTTTTTTTCTTTTACTTAGTAACAAAAATAAGTGCCGCATTAATTTAACATTAACAAAAAAAAAGAAACAAAGACAGAAAAACTGCAAACAAGGGAAAAAATAAAACAAATGTGTCAAAAAGTATGGAATATATGCACTTGGGTCCTAAGGACTGGTCAAAATCAGTATATATTCATGTATATCATGATATGGCCAAAAAGTGGCTTTATGTGGGTAATAAGCCGATCGTAATACAAGGACATTGGTCTAAAGTCTACAAAACTATTATTAGACCAATAGTATGTTATGGATGCGAGACGTGGGTGATGACATGACAGAAGACACAAAACAAATGCTGGAAGTATTTGAAAGAAAAGTCCTAAGAAAGATATTTGAAACTATTAATGAAAACGGGGTATGGAGATCATCAGACAAGCATGACCTTTACCAACTGTTCAAAGAGGCACCGATCTCAGAATTCGTAAAACTTCAGAGACTTCGATGGGCTGGTCATGTAGTGAAAATGGAGAGTAGAAGTTTATCAAAAAGTGCCCTAGATAGTAAAATGCAGGGCGCACGACCAAAGGGAATGGAACAGGAGAGGTGGTGACATGATAATGATATATAATGATAATGACGTTATTTAAGAGGCTAATTACTTAATACGATCTGCAAAAGGAAATATGGCGCTTCGTAAGAGGTCAAAGAATGGAGGTAAAGGAACTAATAGAACCAATACACATTGAAAAGGATACGTAGATTGATCACCTAAAAAAGCTCTCTGCAGAGGAAAAACAAATGACGCTATAACCGGAAACACCAGAAATTACAAATGATGAATATAAATGTACATGAAGTTCAGAAAATACTTGTAAACCTGAAGAACAGAAAAGCAGCAGGAAAGACGGGATACCAAACAAATCACCGAAATATTGTGGAGCAGCAATGACAGAACAATTAACAACAATAATTAATAAAATTATAAAATACAATAAAATACCGGAATAATGGAGAACGAGCGAACTAATTCTACTATTCAAAAAAAGGGATAAAAAACAGCCAGAAAACTACAAAGGTATACACTTGTTTAATATTACCCTAAAACTTACAACTAAAATTTTACAAGTGGTAATAAATCTGAGGATAAGTAAATGTTGCAGATGAACAACAGGGTTTTCATAGTAGAAGATCGTGTACATGGAACATATTCGTTATAAATTACTGAGAAATCACTAGAGAATAGATCAGTATTTCTGTGTCTGATTGACCTAAAGAAAGTGCTGGACAGAGTAAGACTCAAAGCTGTAATCCATCTTCTGTATAATAGAAGTTCTCCTAAATATTATAAAAACTATCAAAAACATCTACCAAAACAACAAAATGGAAGTCAGAATACATGGACAACTTATAGAACGTATAGGAATAGGCAGCGGAATAAGACAAGGGGATTCATTGAGCTCCATGCTCTTTAATTTAGTCATGGACAAAATCATCAGAAGCGTTAACAATGGAAGAGAATACAGAATGGGAAACAAAGAAATAAAAATACTCTGTTAAGCAGATGACCCAATATTGTTATCCCAAGATGAAGATACTCTGCAAAGACTGTTCCACAGATTTAATATAGAGCAAAAGAATTTAATATGACAATCTCATTTTAGAAAACTAAAACAATATTAGTCAGCAAAGAACCAACCAGATATAAAATAGAAATTGATGCAATCAGTATTGAAAAAGTAATGGAAATAAAATACCTGGGAACTACACTGTCTAACTGTGTAGACCTGAACAAAGAAGTGAGAGATCAAGTACAAAAAGCAAATAGACTGGCAGGTTGCCTTAACACTATATGGCGAAACAGACACATTAACACTGAGATGAAGTCAAGAAGTTGTAAAACCAGTTTAAAAACAATAATGACATATGTTTCAGAAATAAGACCCGACACAGCCACAACGCAAGTCACCAATCGGTAAAAGTAGTATCGGACGATCGCGCAAAACATGGAGTAACAACCTTCCATAGAGGTATTAATTAAGAAGAAGAAGAATTACTTAATGTGTGCAGCCATCGTACACCAAAACTAATATGTCTCAATTCTGGGCATCGAAACATTATGTATAACTTAAAGACGGACAACTTGGAACTAAATGTTACTATAAACATATTTAATAGGTACTTAGAGAAAAAAAGTGCTTCTGTATTTATAATACAAAATTGGTTACATGGCAAAAGTACTACGTACTTCTAACTAGACTAAATTAATTATAGGGGAAGTGAAAACAAGGCGTAGTTATACGGAATAAAAAAGTCTACAAAATATTATAGGTGTATCGTGGTACAGCACTATTAAAATTTAAGGTTAGTTATTACTAGAAAAGTGAAACAGCTATAACCAAAAGAGAACTAGGAATTCATGTAACAATCATGACACTACAGCTCTAAATACATTGCAGCAAAATACTCTTACATACCATGCGGTCCATATGTATGGAATAAATTCATTTTTAGAGTTATTATGTACTATGTGAAAACAACCTGAAACAGGTCGATTTTTATTCTTAAATTGACAATTTACGGTATAAAAATATTATCCCCCTCCAGCACCCCCTTTGAATTATAAGCACCCTCTCGAAAATTTTAAATAACAGAGGGGCTCGTGTGACACATTGTTAGAAAGGAATTTTAGTTCTTTGTTCAGCAATATAAAGTTTTTTAAGTTTGATGCAATCATAACTAAGAAAAGTGATTTTTAAGTTGTAAAATTTTGATAACGTCTCTATCACAAAACTTTAGGTTGAAAAACGATAATAATATCACATAATATTTAGAATATATTGTTAAATGTATTTTACAATTAAGTTAAATGTTCAAAATGACCACCATTCACTTCTTGACAATAACCGAGACGATTTTGGAATTCTCATACAATATTTTTATGGCCTCGGGGGTTATTTTGTTAATTTCTTCAGTTATCCTAACTTTTAAATCAGCAATATTGCCTGGTCTATTAAAATATACTTCAGAAATAATCAGGTATTTTCGTATCTATTCTGCTAAACATTATTGAAGTTAATAAAATATTAGTCAAAAAGCCAAATAAATAATTGATATGAATCGAGTAGGCTGCTGTCATTTAGGTATTTAAAGTTACTAAAAGACGTTAGTATAATATTTGTTCGCGTATTAAATTTAAAATGGCTCATTTGTCTGAAACTCTAAGAATAGACATTTTAATTATGATTGTTTGTGGTAATAAAACAAGAACTCAAAAGTTTGTGAAATGTTTAATAAATACCCTGGCCAACAAGTGCCGCAGTTTACAGGTAGCAAAATTAAAAAGAAGTTTCGTTATACTGGACAGGTAAAAAATATTAAAAAACCAGGTAGAAGTGTTAAATTTACTGATGAAAAAAAGTTAGATGTACTTCTAGAGATCGAGGAAAATCCGGCATAAGACAACTCGAGAACTTGCCGCCGTCAGTGCTATGAGTCAATCATCTATTTTGAGAGTTTTGCATAAAGAAAAATACCACATTTACAAAGTTCAGTTAGTTCAGAAGTTAACTGAAGATGATCCTGATAGAAAGCAACAATTGTATGAAATGATGGACAGAATGAACGCAGATTTGCGGTTCATACACAAAATTGTTTTTTCTGATGAAGCGACGTATCATTTAAACTGAACGGTTAACAAACAGATCTGTAGATATTTGAGCAGAGAAAATCCTCACTGGGTGTGTGAGACTCACACCCTATATCCTAAAAAAGTTAACGTTTATGCGGGTATTATTAACAATAAAATTATTGGTCCTTTTTTTGAGGGCACAGTGGATAGTGATGTTTATCTAGATTTTTTGATTAACTTTTTAGTGAATACATTACGAAGATTATTTCCTGATGTTAATTATCCAAATAAGATAAATCGATCTATTTACTACTAACAAGACGGAGCTCCACCGCATTTTGCACCGTTAGTTAGAAATTATTTAAACGAGGTTTTTCCTAATAGGTGGATTGGAAGATCGAAAGGTGGTAGAACGATCGAATGGCCGGCTAGATCCCCGATTTGACTCCTCTCGATTACTTCTTATGGGGTTAGTTAAAATCTGAAGTATATTTTAATAGACCAAATAGTATTGATAATATAAAAGTTAGGTTAACGGAAGAAATTAACAAAATAACCCCCGAGTTCGTACAAAATATTGCACGAGAATTGCAACCTATATTTTGTGATAGAGACATTACAAAAATTTTACATCTTAAAAAGCACTTTTCTCAGTTATGATTGCACTACACTTAAAAAACTTTTTATTGCTAAACAGAGGACTAAAATCCCTTTCTAACAAGGTGTCACACGACCCCCTTTGTTATTTAAAATTTTCGAGGGGGTGCTTATAATTCAAAGGGGGTGCTGGAGGGGGATAATATTTTATACCGTGAATTGTCAATTTAAAAATAAAAATCGACCTGTTTCAAATTTTTTTTCAGATAGTACATAATAACGCTAAAATAGAATTTATTCCATACATATGGACCGCATGGTATAATACTAGAGAAACTTGATATAGACAATAAACCTCTTTCCGACAATGGATAAGAAGCACAAAAATGCAGGAGAGTCCCAAAGAGCAAATATTGAACGTAAGATAGATTATAGAAAAACCAGCGAATTTAAATTACAATGCACTTTTTTTATACAAAATCTGTAGAATAACGACTATGGCAGTTAGAGTAATTGGAGAACTAACTGAAAATTTACAGGTTTTTAAAAGTGTAAGACAAGTCTCACTTTGTTCAATATGTATGACGAATGGATAATGGGGATAGACATTAAAGGATGGAACGACGGCATCACTATCGGCGGAAGGAAGATCTACAACTTGAGATATTCACACGATACAATTTTTCTCTTCAAAACTCCAAAATGGAAACGAATGAATCAGTACGACGCGAAGGCGGGTTTTAAACAACAGTAAATTTTTGTACCGACTAGGATTTAACAATTGACAAAATCGGTTTAAAGAAGTAAGGTTTTTCCGTATACTACCGAAACTACTATAGTTTTTCTGTATACTACCGAATGTTCCGATTGCCGAATTCTCAAGACGAAAGATAAAAGATTCGTAGATTCGTTCGAGACTTGTTCTAAAGAAGACAAGAATGTGTACTAAGACAACCAAACATTAAGAAAAGACCAATAACGCAAGTTAAACAGGTATTTCGAGTACGTTTCTCCACAGATACAGGGACCACATTGTTATAATATTAGTTGTTCCATTGTCAGAATGTGCGGAAATGTCAAAAGATAGAGAGGAATGAAGGAACATTGAAAAGATCAACTCATGTCATAATATCACGATGCCTATATCAAGTTAACGACTAAGAAGATGTTATTATGTACGTTTTAATTTGAAGCAATGGTAATTTATTAGAAGAATTAATAAATTGTTAGCTGTTTGTCCGATATTTAGATGCTTTTATCAATTTTGTAGATTTAGTCTTAGATTAATGTAAAAATGAGAATTTAGGAAACCATGTAGATTATATTAAATGTAGAACTGAAGAAACTTTTGCATATTGTGTACTTCTTCAGATGTTAAGATACAATCTTATAGTGAGGTTAAACATGTAATATTGTCTTACAACAGAAATTTTTCATTTATTTCTTGTACACATTATGTAATTTAGTATTACCTGCGATATTCCAAAAAAAATGGACGAATATCTTGGTAAAAATGCTCGAATCTTCGACCTAAGCTATAAGTTATATTACGTATTATATTTACATAAGTGTAAAAAAAGAAGCAAATTAAAAGGATCTTCTTATCATTGGAAACCAAACAAAATATATGGAAATAAAACCAGAAGAATTATGTAGAAATTGATTTTTCGATCTATTTCAATCGTTGCCACATTGTTTGTTAGGAAAATTATAAGATTCAATAAATAGTTTGATTTGTTAAAACTATTCTACTATCAATATTGTTTTAAAGCATGGTTTTCTAAATGTGTGGTTTGCTAGCTTGTGAAAATATATATTATAAGTGTGATATATGCTGAAGTAGATTTTCGAAATTTTTGAAATTTTCACTCTTAGTTACTGTGTACAAATAACTGCCTTATATTCTCTTTTCTATTACTTCTTATAGCTGTATATATCAGTGTACTATTGATACTTATCTTCTATCATGCGGTATACTAGACAGAAGATCACTACAAATAGAGAAAGTAATCAAAGCATTAAACGCCCTCTTTGTAAATAATGAGTATCCATATAATATCTAAAAACTGCAATTCTCTAAAAAGAAAACAATATTTTCACTCGCATAAAATGAGCCACATTTTACCTGACGTATTTTTGTAAATAGATGCAATAATAAAACTCCAATTAATATTTGTCTTCACGTTTTCAGAACTACAAGAACGATCAAAACAGCCACGCAAGTCATTACATCACCACTAACTATCCAAAACGAATCTGACTTGAGACATTCAATGCAAACCACACTGGATCAGTTCATGGAAGAGGAGAGGCATCCCCACTAGGCACTTCGATTTCGTTATCGCGACAATATAATTGTTACTTAAACAAACTTTCATACTAACTATTTTCAATAATATTCGACACGCCAGTGCATGTGTGTTATTATTAATTTATTTTTTCGGAAATATTTAAAAATGTTGAATATGTAATTTAAACACCATATTAAATTGTAATAACTTTGTAATAGCATAACAAATATTGTATTTTTCAAATGCTGTTCTATTCATTTTATTCCTTCCATTAAAAAACGAAGAATAAGAAGAAACGAAGAAGCATTCATTAATTTTTTTTTACTCAAGAATAATCAATTTTTTAATCAATGATCTCAATAAAATTTTCAACCACAAAATAATACTCAGAAAAATATTGCATATAGTTTTTACGTGGGTAGGTTTCCGTCTGGTGATTTGCTTTGTAAAACAATACTGATTAACTATATATTATACTACCTCATCCCTTTGTCATTCTTAAAAAAAATGGTACATTAGAGCATATATTTCTTAAGCGAGATAGCTTAAAATAATAATTCTTTCAGAAAAAGTACGATAATCAAAGACCTTGACAATTCAAGCCACACAATTTCTGGAAATCTAGAGATAAAACATATATCGTTATCTCAGGTATGAAATTACTATATATAATTTTTTTATTAAATATATAATCTTCGAATATGTTTAATTATGTCTTGAATCCACTATTATCATAGTCGATGGTACCTCTACGTTCTACGACCTTAGATCGAGCAATTGGACAATTACCTACGTAATTTGCATTCGATTTACCCACATTTTCATGGGATTCACCACGTCGTTGACAAAATGCGTTTGCTGCAACATTAAAAATACTGTACACATTGATTACAGATTGGAAGTAATATCAGTTATCTGTCAAAGACAGTCTTGAAACTGGTATCATTTAATTTTCTTCTTTTTCAGTCACCTATATGTATACCTACTAGCCACAGCTCTATAAATTACGTACTGTGAAGCCTTCTTTACTTTGATTAAAACTGCTCAAAGATAAAAAAAACCTGAACAGATATTCTTCTATATTTTAGTATGTCCTCTTACCTTCCTGTACAGTCATTTTTAGTCAATAAATTAAATATTTTATAAAGTTAAACCCATCATGGTGAATTTAAATTACTATATTTTAACATTTTTCAAATATTTGTGAATTTGAAATGGAACCAAACGGTATAAATTATATTTTGGGTAATATTCTTAAATTTTTCAAACAAACTAGAATATAGGGTTAAAAATGTAATCAAAATGTATGTTGATTTAATATTGTAGATCTATAAGGAATACTGTTATAATATTTAACAGTCTAAAGTTTAAATCACAATCAAATTAAAAAAAGTACAAGAATATCGAAATATGCTTATATTTTGCTTGATCTTAACTTTTGTGTTCCTTTATAATATTATGAATTAAATTATTTGGGGGAAAAAGTTTTAAGAATACGATCAGGGATTTGACAAAACGGGCATATTATACTGGAAGTAACAAATCGTAGTTGATACATTTTTTAACCAAATCGTAATTTTTATCGAGTTAATTCAAATTAATAAAGAATATGTTTAATGACAGATCCTTCACAGCATAAACAGTCAATAACAGCTTTTACAGTTAACTGTTTAGGTAATGAGGAGATTAATGTCCTTTCTCTCTTTAATGTTTTTACTGCAAAAGATTTTAGTTCCTCCATACAAATCCCCTCACTTTCATATGTTTATTCGATTTAATCAACGGTCTAACCCAAACAATATTAACTCATAAACAAATGTGAAGTATCAGAAAGGCCACACACAAGGGCTATATCGGTATAAGATGCTGAAATCTGCACTCAGCTGGATTCTTATTTGGGATTGGGTACTCAAAAGTACATAATTAGGACCTATTTTAGCCAAATTTATAGCTTCCTAGATGGCCCCAGCGATCCCCTATCGCAAAAATGTGATTTTTTCGAAAAAAAAAAAAAAAATTTCAGACCAAATTTTTAATGCCCAAAAACAGTATGATTTTTTAGATTTTTTGGATCAAAATTGACTTCAGGAAAAATATTTAAATTTTTCAAAAAAACTTTAGGTTATGCTGGTAATGTGTAACGAACTTCTAAATAATTATTTTTTTGTGTAAATAACTATTATTGATATAGATCTGGATAACGATAAAGAAATAACGATTTTTGATATATTTTTTGTTATTTCTAATAACGAGATCAGATTTGTCATTTTCAGATAGGAACATGCTCAAAATATGACAAATTATCTTTTTTTAATATTTTTTAGGTGAATGAACAATTTTTTATCTATTTTTTTGTTTGTTCTATTACCAGGGTTATATTGGCCATTTTCAGACTGAAAGATTCTCTAAATTCGAAAAAACTGCATTTTTCGATAATTTTTAATTTTCTGTTATATTTCAACTTCATAACCTCATTAAATTTGACAAATAACGGTTTTTGTTCCCCCAGCCCTTTATTCGAGTGATGATTACCATTTAAATATCATTTATGGATTAAATTAATAAAATAATTATATTTAATTTCATATTAGACCTTTTTTCAATTTTTATTACTGATAATGAAATTGTATACAATTACAAAATAGTAAAAAGTGGTCAAAATTACATTACAGTAATAGTTTTAGTCTTCGTCAATATCTGGTTTATTACGAGGTCAGTGTCTGATGTGATAAGTCTGAAAGTATATTTACTGGTCTAATAATGTTTGACTTATACCTTTTGCGGCAATCTGAAAACAGGACCCTACAATTCTGAATCCATGGGCACAATTCCAAACATAACGCAAAATACAGCTGTACTCCATTGAATTAGGTTTGTATTCGACATTTTGTCTTACTATTTTTGTGTCCTGACCTAATTAAAACTTTAATATTGGGGTTCATCCTAATATACTTCAAATTGACGTTATATTATCATCCATCAGCCCGGCTAAGTAGCATATGGCTTGACTTAACTGATAGGTCCCTGAAAAAAATACTTTGAGGTCTGTTTCAGTCATCTCTGGAAAATCTTGACCCTACATGACCCCACTATTAAAAAAATGGAAAAAATAGATGAAACATCATCCTTCATTCATATGCAGTTGAGGTTATGTGATAAAAGCATAGGAAAAAGTATAAAAAAAGAGTGTTTTTCGTATTTTGAGCATGTTCTGCTATGAAAATGAATATTTATTGACATGCAGTTGCGTTTATGTGTTAAAAACATGGGGAAATACCAAACAATGTTTTTTTTTTAATTATGACGATTTTCTGGAGAGTAAATGCCAAATCTAACCCAGTAATTCAAAATAACGGAACAACATTCACGAAAAATAATTTTTTTAAGCAAAGGATTGCTCGGACAATTTTTTTTCGAAAAAACTCATTCTTTCCGATAGGGGACCCCTTTGACCATCTAGGGAGCTAAAAATTTGGCTAAAGGGGTTGCGAATTATGCACCTTTGAGTGCTCATTCCCAAATAAGAATTCAGCCGTAGTCTTTTTTTGCAATTTGTATATTTACAATCTTAAAAATTCTCATTCTTATTGAATTCCAATATTGAATCATATACGGATTACTTTTTCTGTAGATAGATTCATGGAACATGTAACAATAGTACAATGTACTATATTTGACGTTTATCTGATTCTGGTAATAATACTCCATGCCAATATAATACAAGCACCTTTTTCCTGAAATCCCGGATCGAGTTTCCCAAATAAATATGATTTGGTTATAATAAATCAAAGATATCACGCACACATGCACAGAAAACTATGCTTCATCCGATATGATATTGTTGAATTTCTGTTTTGAATACTGTTCTGTATTTTATTTTTTCAATTTTGGATTTTAAAATTTTTACATGACCAATTTGCGAAGTTGTGAGATTTTTAAATGTTTATTGTATAGCAGTTAATTAAGAATACTTTAGATATATTGTATATTTTACTATTTAAAACACTTGAATTTATATATTTATTAACAAAATCCGGAGGTTATCACGCGAACGAAGATATTTCCAAATTTAGTGGTCGATATGTATATTCAAAAATTATGTCTTCTGATTATTGTTGAATCTTTTTCGTTGGTAACCTCTGAAATTTGAGGTTCAGCTTATATAGAAACTATTCCAGATGAGACAAGTAAGATTAGCAGTTACATTTGCGGGATATAGACTTTTTAATTTGAATTTGAGGATATTTTTAAAAAAGCGAAACAGAATAAAGAAAGCAGATTTTTTGTGAATAATTATTCCAAGAAAATTTATTTGTACATAAATTTATTTTCGTAAGACTTGGTTTTATGCCATAATAGAAGAGACCATAGGAAAATATCTTCTTCTTCTTCAAGTGCCCTGTCCGTTGTGAACGTTGGCTGTTAACATGGCAATTCTGATCTTGTTTGCGGCGCTTCTGAATAGTTCGACCGATGTGAGCCCGAACCACTTCCGCAGGTTTTGGAGCTACGAGTGTCTTCTCCTGTCTGGCCCTCGCTCACTGTCTATTTTCCCCTGGACAATCAAATCAAAGGTTTCTTTGTTTAATTGTGCTCACGATATCTTTCTCCTTTCCGATTCTTATAGGAAAATATAAAAGATGTAAAATATTTTCTGCGGGAAAATATGATCGAGAATCACTCGATCACTCGACATTTAATACATGAAAAGAACAGTTGCCAACAGATAGACTACGTATATTACGATATAATGAAGTAGCTACATTATATCTTCTTTTATTTGGTTACTGATACGTTGGCCCTTCGGCACATAGCTCACTTCATTATTTTTCTGTTTTTTTCACGTTCTGTCCGTAGGTTAATTCTTGCAGACGTTTGACCATTTCTCATTTTTGGGAACATTCATATTGCTTATTTAGTTTCATCTTCTGTGAAATACAGTACAAATAGCTTTTTATTTCCTTTTGTGTTTTAGTATATAATTGGCTTATAGATGAATCCCCATGTCAAATTAAAACGGGTGTAGTACTATTACTCTTGGTCTCTCTTGGTCTCCAGTTTGTTAATGGAGACCAAGAGAGAACAGGCGAGGAGTAGGCAGACCGCAGAAGAGGTGGACAGACGATATCAAACAAGTCGCGGGCAAGCAGTGGATGAGAATTGCCAGAAGTAGAAATCGATGGAAGCAAATGGAAGAGGCCTATGTCCAGCAGTGGACGATCACAGGCTGAAGAAGAAGAAGAAGTACTATTACTAGTACTATACTGTATACTATTAAGAATATAATCAACAACGGCTTCTCGGTAGCAGTCGAAAATAAAGATGCGATTACCATAACTGATCTGACATTTTTGTGATCTTCCTCTTGACATAAGTTCATCCTTTTTTCGTTTTGTTATTCTCTTATTATTATAGCTGAAGAATATGACGAAATTATGTATTGTGTAATATATTTTTATTAGATTAAAAATTCGAAGGGATAAAATTCAGCGTAGATGATGAATTCGAAAAAGAAAACTATGTTAAGCAAAGACTTTTCACAAAATTAAATTAGTTTAGATTGGGGAAAACGATACGTCGAAGGGCAAAAATTCTGTATAATTTATTTGCGGTATTGTGTAAACTAGGGATAGTAGACGATTGGACACATTCACGAAAAACATATAATTTTAAAAATTCTTCGTGCTCAAATTAAAAAGTTTACTTCCTGAATAGCGCATAGATTACGGTTTTTACTTAAATATACTTTTAGGTAAACAATTCTGTTTTTTTGTCAGTATCGATTTATACTAAGTAGGTGCATACAGTTTGTTGAATTCGAGGGTACTAAAATTTCCGTCTAGTACATAAGTGTGAAAGTTTTATTATATAGATTTTAATATATATTAAATAATTATGCTTTAAAATGAAATTATTGTAGAGACTACACTGTTCTGTAATATATATTTTCTTTTTGGAATTAGTTTATGGTTTTATTTAATTGTTTATCCTCGCGATGTAGTTCCTCTGTGAACTGGCAACTTGGCTAGTTGTGTTAAAAAAGTGTTCAAATATTTGATTTTTCGCCAACGATAATCCTGAACATTTAGAGAGTTGTTGCCAAAATTAAATAATAACTGACAGTACCAGGTAATTATAAAGTAGTGAAGAATAATAAAACAAGTATAAATTTACTGCAAAAAAGTAATATTCGGTATAAAAAACCACACTGATAATAATAGAAAAAGTAAGGTTAAAGTAAGATAAACAAATCAGCTGGTTTATAAACCGTGACACGTCTCGATTAAACTATCCTACTGCCATGACCGACAATGTTGGGCCCGACGGTTGGCGTGTGTAGACTTATTGACCAACAAGACTTCTCCATTACCCAACCTGTCTAGTCGACTATTTTTGTCGGTCAACAAGCCTACATACACACTAACCGTCGTACATACATTGATTTTAAATAATTAGCCGGCCAAAAGTCAAATTTCAAAAGTGACGTTAAAAATTTCTAAATGAAAGAAACATCCTAGAGATACATGGTTTCAATTACCAAAAAATAACTGTCCCAACTCTAGAACTGTTCACTATACGCATGCGCAGACGCGTGGCAGGTAGCTTGTCAATAACGTGTTGTTGTCTACGCCTACGCTACACTTATCAAATATCGTGATATTTTGATTATTTTGTGATATTCAGCTTATTTTTTGAAGTGATTGTTATGGAATCGAATAATTCAGGTAAGAATGCATATTTCTTGAAATATGTAAAGAATATTTACTGTTGTATAATTTTTCCAAAATCAAAGGCAAGCTGTTTTGTAGTGAAATTTCTGTTTAATTTTTATGTTTTATGTTTAAGACATTAAGTTATATTATCGCCTCAGATCCAACAATGCTGTTTATTTTATAGTATATTGCATATATTTGGCTAAATAATGCCGTACGATTTAGCTGCGGATAGCCGAAATAGAGGGGTGTTTGTTTATTTTGTTATATTGATGACATCACAAAACTTAAAGTACTTAATGTTGTTCTTAAGCTATTTTTTTGTGGCATTTCAAGTACTTAATCGTATTAACTGTAACACGTTACGATTTTATTTGTTTTAATCTGGTGCCTTTGGCAAAAAAATAGTGACCCGTAAATATCTTTACGACCAAATGAAGCTTCAATATTTGCCTAATTTAGATGATAAACTGAAATATTTAGAAATCACTTACTGGCCTGTTATGGTAACACATCTGACAATTTAACCAGTTTAAATCGAAGATTTCGGCATTTTAAAACGGTCATAAAAGAGAAATGGTTAAAGGCCCACCGAAAAGAGGCTACATTTTGCAAACAAATAGAGTTTGGTTAGATGGAACATTTATACTGGTAGAAAACGAAAAAATGCGACCAGGTCGGTCATCTAAATCATTTATTGACTCCAGAGAAAGAACGAAAAGAAGAAAAACAGAAAAAATACGTTCTTCGCTTGATGGAGAAGTTATCGTTCATGCAGCCCAATCAACATTACAGGCTCGAGGAAAAAGAAATGCTTCAAAAATATTAAAAGAGATTACAAACTCTCAGATAAATATCAAATTCAGATAAATATAGAGATGTGTTCAGGAAATAAGATAAAGAAATCATTACTGCTCTTACACCGTTGCAAGCTCTAGCAATGTTTCTTGAAGCTGATTTAACCAAGCGACAGTATGAAATCATTAGAAATACAAATAAATCTTTTTATCCATCCTATGACTTAATGTTAAAGGAAAAAACAACGCTACCCGCCAACGGATTGCAGGTACTCAGCAAGGTTTCAAGTACTTGCGCAGAAAGCAGTTTACAAACTTTGATAGATAACAGAGTTCACCACTTATCAGTGGGGTTGGAAGAAATCCTTTTTTCTCTAAACGACAATAAAAGGAGGTCTTTAAACATTATTTGTAAATGGGTTTGTGACGGATCTCAACAAGCCAGATTCAAACAGAAATTTGGCGATGACGCTGCTTCGGATGTGCATATTTTCCTATCTTCTTTTGTTCTGCTTCGAATAATAGGTGGCAAAGAAGGTAAAATGGTAATTTGGCAAAACGCAATACCGTCCTTGCCTAGATATTGTAGACCTATACGATTTAGCTTTGTGAAAGAAACAGTTGATGTAACGAACGAGGAGATCAGTAAGAAAATCAATAAGGAATTTGCCAAGAACTTAACACGTACTGAAGTTGTTTTGAACTGTATCACATTCATGTTTGATCATGTTTTTAAGATGACTATGATTGATGGCAAGGTTTGTAATGCTGCAACTAATACAAAAACCAACAAGTCGGTGTTATATATGAAGAATCCGAATGCTTGAAAGCGTTTTACATTTGGCTTACAAATTACCAATAAAACAGTATAGAGAAAACAGAACTGACGAAGAAAAGAAGATAAAAGTGCTCACAAAACAATATATTCACGAAAGATTTAGCAAAGAAACTGGATTGTTAATCGACATGCCAAAAGCCAATTTCGGGAATACTAATGACGGCAATACTAGCCGAAGATTTTTTGAAAGTCTTCAACTAGCTGCCGATATAACAAAAGTTAATTTTGAATTGATATATAGATTGAAGATTATATTAGAAACAATTTCAAGCGGTCATAAAATTGACGTCCAATAATTATTCCAAAGCAACAGCGAAACTGTATATCGATCTGTACGGATGGCACCCTATGACACCGACCATGCATAAAATATTAGTTCACGGTGTGGAAATAATCAAAAATGCCTTATTATCCATTTCATCTTTTCTATCTCTTGGATAATTTCTGGGCTACTATTTCAAATACAGTCTGTGTTTATTTGGTTTTTGCCGTTTTCCTTGTTTATATTGAGTTTTGATCTGGGAGGACATTTGGTCCAGGTAGTGTTTTAGTTATTTTGATTGAATTTTGGTATCTTTCAGTCATCATCATCATTCCTCAACCTCTTGCATCCACTGTTGGATATAGGTCTCCTCCATGTTCTTCCACTGTTCTCTATCTTGCGCCTTCTGTATCCAATTTCCGACTGTTTTTCTCAAGTCGTCCATCCATCTTTTTGGTGGTCTGCCTCGGTGTCTTTTGTCTTCTCTAGGTCTCCATTCTATGAGTCTTTTGGTCCACCTATTATCATTTAAACGTGCTATATGTCCAGCCCATCTCCATTTGGCTTGTGCAATTTTTTCTATGACATCTGTCACTTTAGTCCTCTCTCTCACTATCCTATTTGGTACCATAACTCTTCTAGTTATTGCCAACATTGCTCTTTCCATTTTTCTTTGGGTTACTCTCAGTTTATTTGCAGAATGTTTGGTTAAAGTTATTGTTTCGGAACCATATGTTATTACTGGCAGTACGCATTGGTTGTAAACCTTTTTCTTCAAGCAAATCGGTAGCGTTCCTTTTAGAATATCTCGCATCTTGCCAAATGCTGCCCATCCCAAGCCTATGCGACGCTGGATCTCACAAGTTTAATTGTCTTTTCCTATTCTAATTTCATGCCCTAAATAGATATAACTAAAGACCTGATGTACTTCGTTCCCATCTACCCTCATAACATCACTTGGGACTAAATTGGTCATGTATTTTGTTTTTTCAAAGTTTATGTTCAGGCCTATTTGTTCTATTGCCTGTTTTAGTTCTTCCATCATTTTGTGAGCTTCATTTAAACTCTCGGCTATAATGACAATATCATCTGCAAAGCGCAAGTGGCTTATGTATTCACCATCAATATTTATTCCCCTTTTAGCTCAATCTAGTTTTTTAAAGGCATATTCCAGGCAGTGAATAGTTGGGGGGAGATGGTGTCGCCCTGTCTAATTCCTCGCTCAATTCTATATTTATCGGTAAAGTCATGGAGTTTAACAGATGCTGTTGCGTTGTATATATGTTTTATCAAATTTGTATATCTAAAGTCTACTCGGCTTTGTTCTAATGCTCCTAATACTGCCGGTAACTCCACGGTATCAAAAGCTTTCTTGAAGTCTATGAAAATCAACGTGAGTGGTTCATTATATTCAACACATTTTTCAATTAGTATTTTAGGTGCTTGTAGGTGGTCATTTGTTCCATAACCTTTCCTAAACCCAGCTTGCTCCTTAGACTGATAGAAATCTAATTTTCGTTCTAAACGTTCTGTGATGATCTTGGTAAACCATTTGTAGAGATGTGACAACAGACTTATCGGTCTATAATTCTCTAGGTCTGATATATCTCCTTTTTTGTGTATTAGGATAGTAATTGCATATTTCAGTAATTGTTATATAATCGATCTGATTTCTTACTTCTATGTCTTACTATTCAAAGCAAATCCTAAAACCAATTGACTAAGATTGAGTACTGACGAATGTGTGGTTTTGTGCTTTGTTCCCATCTATTTTTCCATTTCCTTGTCTTAAACTGGTATTGGAGATCTTGAAATTAGCAGTGGTGGATTTATGGATTTTAGTCCGTTTCTTTCTAAGTTCTTTATTAATTCCTATTTCCGTGTCAAACTGAAGAGTAAGCCATATTAAGAGATAACACATTATTAGAAAACTGTTTATTTGTAGGAATAAGTTACAAACAGTGTACCGTTTTTACAATGTCAATATAAAATATTTTCTACACATTCAAAACAAAACAAAAATACTCTGCTTCCTCATCCATTTAGAAACAATTCACTCAATAATTCTTTCAAATGCCATTAACTTTCTTTATACATATATATTGCAGCAGTTTGCTTCGGTAATGATAAAGTCGGTGTTAATTATAAATTATTCTACAAACAAAAAATGTTGCTTAACACAACATATGGCTTCTGAAAGAAGTATCAAATGGCAATTCAAAATAATCATAAAAAACATTTAACAATCATTTATTACCAAAACCCCCCATAAGATTACCTAAGCCCCCTAAACCACCAGCTGCGCCTGCTTGGAGTTGTCTCATCATATTTTGCAAACCTGCCATGCCGCCCATTTGTTGGAGGACTCTAGGATCCATCATTTTTGCCATTTGTTGATTAAGTTTCGCCATCTGGTTGTGGTTAACGTTTTTAGCCATATCGCCACCTTTGAAGAGACCTTTGATGCCTCCCATTTTCTTTACTACCGCTGCGAACTTTGTGTATTGCGTGATGAGATCTTTTACTTCTCTTTCTAAAATACAAATAAAACGGATAATTAGAGTGCAAGTATATCAATTATTTGAAAAATAAAACTGATCGAGGTCAGCAGATCATAGACTACAGAAACAGCACCATTAACGCCTTATCTAGGGCGATGCAGAAACTGGAGAAAATTCGTAATCCCTACAATAACACAAGATAAAAGATTACTTTCATTTTCCTCAAATTACTGGAGAGGAAATAAGATTAGGCCTTAGTAAAAGTCCAAGTAAATCACTCCATTATCTTTCAAGCTTAAAGGGTACCCTCCGTTAATACCAACAAAATGCCCTCACTCAAAAAAATCAAATTTCATTTTTTGTATGTTCTATACTTCATCTAATTTACATACCGATGCACGTCATTATCTACGTCAGAGATCGAAGTTGACATAGTTGCCAAAGTATAAAAAATCCTGACTCCATTTTAAATAAAATAGATTACATAATTATTGCAAAAGTATTACCATCTCTTTACAACGACTATTTAAATTCTTACGTGACATTTTTGAAATAAAACGAACTAATTTTGTTCTAAAAACAACAGATTTTATTAAATAGGTAAAAATATAAAACAAGAGGTATTCACTTTAAAATTCAAAATAATAAAGTACAAAAAGTGTCAACACCGCAACTGTCAAATAAGTGTTACCAATTTATGCCAAAATTTCACCTTCGTTCGATTACAGTTACAGTGTGTTCCGAACAAATGTTCTTCATAAAAACGCTTTGTAACGCATTTATACAAATTAAATGAAACATATTATTGTGTATTTCTTTAAGTTACTATTAATAGAAATTTTTAAATATTATTTCTACGCGTATATAATAAAATTTGTCTAGTGTCTGTAATGACAGTGTACTCGGCAAAGTTATTCTAAAAAAGAACACACCTACCGCCTAAATATTTCGTGTTGGTATCATGTGACGTCACGGGCGATGAGCCCAATGACGTGCATCGGTAAGTAAATTAGATGAAGTGTATGTGATTAAAAAACTAAGCACAATTTTATACCGCCATCCCTCCCACACCGCCAAAAACTTTTTCGTTTTTATTATTTTTTTAGGTGGGATTTAAAATTTAATTATTGGTTCTTCAAAAGACAAAACAATTAGGATCGGAAATAACTGATATAGAAGATATGGTGCTCTTCAAAAGTGGAGGTAAAGATAGAATGCTTGGAACTGGTTTTTTAGTAGCTGAATGTATCAAGGACAAAGTGAGCTTTTAATCATATCTCTGATAGGATGTGTTCAATACGAATTAAAAGTAAGAAAAGGAATTGGAGTATAATCAATATTCATGCACCGTCAGAAGACAAGGACGACGAAATAAAAGATCTTTACTATGAGCAGCTAAATGATGAATACGAGCGCCTACCTAAACGTGATGTAAAAATAATAATGGGTGATTGTAATGCTAAAGTGGGAAAATAACCTCTGTATACTGCAGTAACTGGTAACTATAGTAAACACGAAGTAATAAACGATAATGGTCAAAGACTTATTGGATTTTCCATGGAGAAAAACATGGTGGTGAGAAGCACACAACTAAAACGAAAAGAGATATACAAAGGTACGTGGGTCCCCCCGATGGAAGGACGGTGAATCAAATAGATCATGTTATGATTGAAAGTAAATATACGAATATCATTCAGAAGGTAAGAAGTATGAGAGGAGCTGAAATCGCTGCACTGCTAAATTGCTACACGGAAAGAATCCTACATGAGTATCAGGCCGGCTTTAGAAAGGACAGATCTACTGTAGACCAAATCTTCTCATTAAAGGAGATACAAACGACTTGTTATGAAGATAAAGTTCCCCTGCATGTTTTGTTTGTGGATTTTAGACAAGCATATGATAGAGTCGATAGAGTCAAAATATATCGAGCAATGAAACATTTGGGTATACCAATGAAACTGATCCGGCTAGTAAAATGACATTAAATAACTATTAAGTGTGAAATTATGGCAGGCATGAAAATGGAAAAGAGGAATGGGAGCTGGAAGCCAGAATAGCAAAAGGGAATAAAAAATTAGGTAGTTTAAGAGCCCTACTGAACTCAAAATACGTTTCTAGACAAGGTAAACTCAGAATATATAAAACAGTAATTCGACCCACAGTAACATACGCCGGTGAGACATGGATATTAAATAAGAAGGAAGAGGATACTCTGGAAAGATGGGAAAGGAAAATACTGAGACGCATATTCGGAGGACGGAAGACAGAAGATGGTTGGGAGAGAAGAACCAACAATGAATTAATGGCTTTATACAAAGAACCTACCAATACCAAGTTCGTCAAGTCACAAAGAATCAGATGGTTGGGACATGTGGAAAGAATGGAAGCAAACATAATGCCCAAACTAGTAATAACCAGAAAACTGATCAAAGATTAATTTTCTGGTTATTCCTAGTTTGGGCATTCAAACTAGTAATGCCCAAACTAATAATAACTTATTAGTTCAATTTCGATCTATTTTAATTTTTCCTGTCTTTCCTTGTTTATTCCTGTTGACCGTCACTTTTGAATTTGTTTTAGTAAGGGCATCTCTAATAACTCTTGTCATTTTTCTGTTCATATCCCAGGCAGCGTTCTCATAAAAAATATTTTGCAGACACTTAGTTTGCATCCGTCATTGTCTTTAAGAAAATATAAAAAACTTTTCGACCTTCTAGACACAACACTAGCTGTGGTTTTCCGTTTGGTTACTTGTTCAAATGCGTTATTAAAAATAAAAAATTTCTGTTCGTCTTTTTGCAATTTCCATAATTCTCCATTTATTTCTGTTCTTCGTCTCGCTTCTGTAATTTTTTCGGAACATCTTCTCTTCCAAGAGATACAAGATAGTTTCACACCGTGCTTATCAATTGTGTCTGTTAATTTTCTTTTTTTTTTTTCTCATTGCTAGGCTCTCTTTAAAATTTTTTCGTTTACGGATTTCCCCTGTTTTAGTTAAATTGTCTTTTTTCGCCCTTTAAACAGATACACATATTATATATACCAAGATTTCTTGAATAAAAGGGAGACAGTCTTCCTTACCTTCTTCTTCACCTTTAGTTATATCTCTCTCTTAGAATAACTCTCAAAGTTATATCAATCTTCGCTTTATATAAACCTTTTCTGTTTAATTTCGGTTCCTCAATTTCTTCCGTCTCTGAATCTGGCAAAATAAAATCGGGGTCATTATCATGCTGAAGTTTATTTTTCTTCACGACACGTCGTAAACTATTTATTTTCTCCCTTTGTTGGTTATTTAAAATATGCAGCATTTTAAATGCTCTGCTATTTCTGTCTATTGTTACTGGTTCAGTTAATAAACTTTAATGTAAACACACTTAAAAACACTATAACAATAAGATTAATACTAGTAAATAACTGAAAATCAGATACGCCGAATAACGCTACAACCGTTTAATTTTTAGGTTAAGAAACTAAAATGGCGGGAACACTATGAATGATTAAGTTAGATCTTCCTGTTGTTAGAATATTTTGTCGAAACTACACAATTGTTAAGCAAATTTGTCGTAACTACATATCGTCTTGTGAAGATACGACTAAAAATGTTAACAAATCGAGATTCAACAAATGGGCTTAAGATAAACTGTAAAAATGCAGATCTGACAAAATTTTAAAGTAGAATAACTTATTTTTAAACAGCAGATAAGACTTTTATTTTTAACATATACGTAGATTATTTGGCTATCAATGTGTTGGCGTTATAACCTAAAAGATCTCAAAATTGCAGATACGACTTCTATTCTTAACAGGGCAGTGCGGCCATCTCCAAAAAGAAATTATTTTTGGAAAAGATTCAAATATGTTTGTGAATTTTTGGAAATTCTTAAAAAAATACGTTTTCATTCTGGGAGTGGGGAAATTTTGTCTATCTTAACGGGGTACCCTATATGTTATAGAGATGTCCCTGCAGGAACTAATAAAGAAGAACACTAGTATCGAATCAAATTGACTCCAAGTTATGATTCGTATGTAAGTTTACTTTGATTGCCTATTTCACGGCGATATGTTGGACTTTTCAATACCATCGTATTCTACTTTTTAAATATCTTGAGGTATGCCGTTTGCTCCTGTATATTATACTGTTTAGTTACAATTTTTGGACTATACGACTTATCATTCGAAAGGATGTATCGACTTAAGTTGCTCTTCGGCTATTCCTTGCAGCGATCTCGAAGACAAGATCACGCAGCTTCAAATAAATAAATTAATTAAATAATCAATATTAGCACATTGTTATCATTATAACGAATCCATCGATCTAAGTTGTTCTTCCCAATATACTGATCAATATGTGATAACAGAGACACAGGCCAACAAAAAAAGATTTATAAAACTTTTCTTACAAATTTATGTGAATCCTATGTATTTTTTGACGCTAAAAGACAATCTGAAATTAGATTTTATGTATCACCAATAGTTTTCCCACAATACAACACTGGTTTATTCTACATTATAATAATTTAAAAAAGACAAAATACCGAAATACATTAAAATGATACATTATTCGAATAATAGCTTTTATATAATTCTTATCTTGTAATAGTGTAGGTCTGTACAATTATTTAAAGAGTCAATGCTTTTGTATTTTCTTTTTCTTTTTTCAGTAGGACTTCTCAAGGAGCTTGTTCTCCCATACGAGGCACTCTGTTGTTCCCGATGAAGTGATCACAAGTAATCACTCATCCTGTTGGTGTTCCAACGTCCCTGATATCGTTTCTCCACCACCTTGACATCCTGGTGGATTAGTTCGCCTTGTTCTTCACTGATATCACCCAGATTTTTAGGGAAAAAGTCAAGATGGTTATGCAAAAAGTGGATTTTAAGGCTCATTAGACATCCCAAATCTTTAAACCTATCTAATAAATTAGCTACTATAAGCTCGTAGTTAGGGTCTTTCCAGCGGCGGCTCGTGGCCTAAAAGAATGGTGAAGATGAGGAAAGCTTGCCGGAGCCAAAAGGAGTTTTGGTACCTACTTCGTGGCCAAATCTCAATAAAAATTCATTAAAAAGAATATAGAGTTTAGGGCCCTAATAACTTGAAAACAGTTTTTTAGGGCACTTATACTAGATACGATTCGTTCTGTTTGCCTGGGGTATTTTAGTTCTGAACCTTGACTTTTCATTGAGGGTTTTTTGGCGATTAAAACACCATGCGTGCTAAAACGGGTTGGTGAGTTTCGATTCAGCCGTCCACTCTGGGTCAGATGCTGACTGCAGCCGACCAGTGTGGATCAGACACAGATGTTTAAAATACTGGTTGATCGACCATGTAAAGAACATTCCTTTATTTTCATTTTTTTAACGCCTAAACGGAGTCTCAATATATTAAACACAAAGTAATTAATTGAATTCATGTCTTTCTAAAATTATTTTGGTCCAAACAAAATCCACGAGAACATTTTATATCCGAAATCCGAAACAAACCACAGAGAAATGTATTAATAAAGTGCACTAAATAAATAAACTTAATACTGTGACTAAACTAAATTAATAAATACTATACTATACACTATACCATATAAAAAATATCTATATAATAGACTAAATTTCAAAATATTACCGCCAAGAGAAATTTCCGAAAAATAGTAATACCAAATACACATCCAACAGTGGGTGAAGACGGATAATATATTTTTTGGCGGAACTTCACTCGCCAGTTTTCTCAGCTATCACTAAGGATAGGCTGACGTCACGTTGCCATGGCAACCGTGAACGCTTATGCAGACAGATTTCGCATTTCAAAATGATATTCACCTATTCTTGAATCCTACACGGCTAGTGTCACAGGTCAGGACTTGACCGTCAAGTACCTACCGCTAATAAAGCTAGTTGTCTTTTTTAATTTTTAGATTAATTAAAAGAGAATAAATATTTGATTTCAGAATTTAGATATAATAATGTTGCTTTCATTTTTTATTTATTTTTCTCAATTTAATTTTTTTTTGTGAACCTCACCTTCACCTACTTCACCTGGCCGGCCGCCGCTGGGTCTTTCACATTACCTAAAACCATGGTTAGAACTTTTTTGAATGCAATCCAAGCTTCTTTTTCTTTTTTAGTCACCTTGATTTCAAAGGTAGAGTCGAACATCATTTTACGAATATCTGGTACAACAAAAACAAATTCTTTCAATTTGGCTTCTGATAGATGGGGAAACTTTCCACTCAAGTACTTGAAACATTCTCCATGTTTAGGCATTGCCTTAACAAACTGTTTCATTAATCCTAACTTTATGTGTAGAGGTGGAAGTGTTCTCGGACGCGACTAATTCACGTTCGAGACGCATCGCCCCGCCCCTTATTTTTCTTGTTGGCCCCTCCCTGACCTGGAAATCCCTAATCGCTACTTCGGAATGTATAAAAATAGGCGATTTTCAGGTCAATCAGTTCAGTCCTTCACGGGCTCTCCGAGAGCTTAGTGCTCTCGGGGCTCTGCTTTTTCTTTTAGCCTACCCTATACTCTGTGGTTGAGTGTTTTATTTCAACAATATTTGGTGTTTTTTATTTCGACTACCTCCTTTTGTTCATGTAAGAAATATCTTGCCTTTATCAAGGCAAGTCACCGAAGACCAAAACCTGATGTTTGTTTCGACTTTCTCACATATAAGTCATGTAAGAAATAGCTCGTCTTTCTCAAGACGAGTCATCAGAGGAAAATTTCACAAGTCTATATCCAGTAAATAGACTTGGGTAGAGGTGCATTCGTTGACGTCTCCGAAGCCCTCTACAGAGCACCCGGAGGCAATAGAAGGAGTTAAGACCCCTATTTGTTCCCCCGCGGTGACAGGAGGATCTTTTTTGGATCTACCATAGTTTTGTACAAAATTTTCTTCTTGCCAAGTGTTAAAACATTTCTTATGGGCCATTGTTTTGTGGACCAGTGTTTATCTCTTGCTCGACTGTCCCAACCACAAATAAAACATGGACACTTTGTAAATCTTTTTTGTTGACCAAGTAGCCTGCAAACAACTATTAAATCTCCACAGATCATCCAATTGTGAGCTGAATAGCTGATTTTCTGTAGAATTGTAAAACGATTTTTATATCTCCCTTTCATATGGATTGAATGAACAATAGAAAGTGAAGCATAAGTCGTCCCATTGTGTAAGACTACAGCTTTTAAACTTGTTTTTGAAGAGTCTATAAAAAAGCCTCCAATCAATCATCCTTATTATACTCATTAACAAACTCATTCATTAGACCACCAATATCATGAGAGTAGACCAAATCCCCTTGTAAATAGATTTACCGGGCGACAACAATTCCTTTTCTTTTATTCTTGAGCCAAGCAATTCTGATTTTTTTCTTTGTTAAACCCAAATCTCTTACTACTTCCTGGACCACTTCTATCAGATTCTGATTCACTAAATTTAAAATGTCATCAATACGTAGAGGAAGCTCAGGGACTGGCAGTTCAGGTTCATGCTCTACCGGACGGATAGCAGACGGTAGGTTAGGATAAACAATCACTTTTTTATTTTTGGAGTTATATCCAGAATGGTGGGTGATACAGTATTTTTAATAAGATTTTCGGACTCAGTACACTAAAATACATAAGATAATAATAAGGTAATTTTATCAAAAAAGTTTTTTCATCGTTGGCCTGTGGATTAAATAGTAATTCAAAATGTTTGTGTCCAAAAGGAGCACTCAACTGTGTAAGAAATGCATTGAATAACTCAATAGATAAGCTAAACCTTAAGAAATATGTCATAACAAAAGTTAATCTAATTCTACATCTATAACTAATTATTTTATTACTCTTCATCAAAATTTAGCGGTTGATGTATGTGGTTTCAATCTACTGTCATCCAAGATATATGATTATGATGAGCCCCAAGTAGCGTGAAAAATGTCAGGGTGGAGAAAGTAATAATGTTTTAAACAGGAAGGACAATGCATTCATCCGTTCTCGATGTTATAGACGAACCAATATCCGGCATTTAGACTTACCTGTTACACCAGATCCCTGTGCAACCCTGACCACTCTTCCAACTTGTTTAGTAAACAATTTTGCGCCATCTCTGTTGTCCAACTCATAATCATTCATACTGTCCATTATTGTCATTAATCTTTTTAATCGTGCCATGGATTCTTGTTCACTTCCTTTTGACATAAAGTCTTGGCTAAATCCTGGGATCATACCCTTAAAAGTGTCATTATTGATGTATTTATAATTAACCAATAAATATGAGTAAATCGTAATTATAATAAATAAAGTAATTACTATTTTAATGGGAATAAGCCGCAATTGAAGGTTAATGTAAGTTTATTGACGTTTCAATTTCCACTTCGGAAATCGTTCTCAAAAATAAAAACACTAATAAATGAAATAACTTTTGTTTTTGTTACTTGCTGAAAAATTCTTCTAATAATTGAATTTTATCTGACTTATTTATATTTACAATTCAGACATACATTATACATTTTAAAGTAGACGACATTAAAATGATATTGCCAATATTGCTGAGTTGCGTTCCTGAGACGACTTTATTGTAAGATAGTTCATTCGATTACATTAAATCAACTTTAACTTGAGAATATCCGTCAACAAATCATAGGATGTAATTGGTTTTTAAAAAGACAACCACATGCCATGATAACAGTAAAGTTCTCCTGTTAGTTATTCCATAGTAAATCATGAGGAAAAAAACCTCATAATACTATCCCTACATGGTAAGTATTTGAGTAAAGTGTTTTGTAAAAAACACAAAAATGATGGATCCTCGATATGTATTATTAATATATCTACTAAAATAGTAATTACTTTAAAATGCCACAAGAAAATAGCTTCAGAACAAGAATAATAAATAAAAGTAATACTCGAAAAAATTTAAAGAGCTCATTGGAGGAAGGCATCAACGGCCAATAACAAATAAGTTTTGAGATACTAAACTTCCAAAAGTAAATTTTTGTTGATTTATTAGCATTCGATTTATCTGTACCAGAATAATTGTATAAATGGTAATGCCTAAGTATTTTTGCTAAATTTTACGATTTGAATTCATTTTGCAGTTTTACCCAGTTATAAAGGTATTCCACCTAATTTTAGAACTATTTACTTATTACCTGATTTATCTAAATTTGTATTTTTGTCTTTTTGCTATATGTTTTATTTTGTTATGATTACTTGGCTCATTTGTTATCATTCCATAATACGTTTATCTGACTGAACTTTAAAGTAATAAAAATTGTTAATTTGTAGCCATTATTTGTTTAATGCTCTCCTATAATCTTCCTTTCTTCTGGTAACTAATAAAAAGTTAATCTGATAGAAATATAGAAATATTATAAGGTAAATGTGTTTGTTTTTTGTCTATGTATGCATATTGGTTTTTTATAGGTTTAGCCTATTTTTTCTAATCATTCTTAAACCAATCTTCTCATAGGTCAATCGTCAAGAGTTTTCCTTGTCCCTCGAGAAAGGACTAGGTGGCGCCCTTTATTTTTCCCTTTTCGTTTAGTACCTATTTTCATTGGTACATTTCAATTCCCATTTTTTTAAATACACCCCTTCTTAAATCTATAGATCCACGTCCCAAAGCTCACCGTTGTGTCCATCAAAACACCTGAACACCTTCAAAAGTAATGGTAGATAAAAATAATTATAAGTTCTCGAGAAGCCTTTCTAGAAGGATATTCTACTGGTTTAAATGCTCCCGTAGTAAAGGGTCGAAGATTAAAAATCACGCACATTGGTAGCGAACACGGTTTTGTGAAGAATGGTTTATTTGAGTTTGTTTCAACATCCACTAAATGAATGAAGAAATGAACTTCGATGTTTTTGAGGATTACTTTTCTAAGGTATTACATTTTGTACCAAATAATGCTGTTGTTTTCGATAACTCCAGCTATCACTCAAAATTAGTGGAAAAGTTACCGACGGTCTCATGGAAAAAGTAGATATAATTGACGGCTCCAACGCAAAACAATACTGTATGATCACACTATGCTTAAAACGGAATTATTACGAATTGTAATGCAACAAAAAATTCCATAAAAAACGTAATGAATAATAACTGGACCAATGCCGTAAACCACGTAACAAAGACGAAGAAAGATTGTGGACTGTTGATAATAGCATTGAAGAACTTTGTCAATTTATAATCATTCCAATCGGACCGGACAACGAATCTGGCACAGAAGAAGAGGAAGAGATGGAAATTAATCATTTATAAGTAAATCAATAAGTTTTTAACTTGGGCACATTGTTTAAATGTTAGATATCAACACGATGTATAAGCTTTAACATTAATTTTATTTAACATATAAATCTGTCCCTTTTTGATTCTCCAATACTGACCGGTGATTTTCATACCTGTTAGCTATATAATACATGGGTTTCTATGTGAGCAGCATGGACACTTTGAAAAATAACATCTAAAACTACATTTCAACAGGAGAGGATATTATTTTACCACATTACATGCTGCTTGCAGATTAGTGAAGATATTCATTTGTAATGAGCTGCCAATTGCAAACAAATAAAGTATAGTAATTAATTTAAATTGTATCCTTTCCCAATAGATGTTATTGTCGTCAGTGGCTCAAAATAAAACAAGTGCCACATACAAAAAAAAATAATTGCAGAATAACAAAATAATTCATTGGTCATATTACATTAGAAAATTAACAGTAAAGGTATTTTTAATAAGTACTTACCATAATTTGTGAAAAAGGTCCCATCTTCATTATATTTTGAAACTGTTCATACATATCTCTGAGCGTAAATTGACCATGTTTAATTTTTTCTAATAATTCTTCATTATCTTCCAACTTTAATTCATTTACTTTGTCAATTAAACCTTCTATGTCACCCATCCCCAATAATTTACTAATGAAAGGTTTTGTTTTAAACGGGTCTAAATCGTCTATGTGCTCTCCTGTACCGATGAATATAACTGGACTGTTTGTGGCTGCAACACTGAAGAATAAAAAAGAATATAGAAATAATAATAATTTAGTGAAAATCTCTATAAAACCATACAAAAAGTGGTACTAACCACGACATTCAGATTCGAAAGACAATTTAGGAGATACTTCAGCATATCAGGTCAACTAGGGCTTCATTACATGAAATAGTTATCCTCAGTGCGCAGTTGTTTGGATACTATAGATATCTGGAGAGAGTGATTTTTTCCCTAGAGCAAAAGTCGTACGACTTAAATCTGAATAAGTTATATATTAAATACTATTTTACACTGTATCTGGATGCTGAAACCTCTCCATGTGCACCATCTCAATTACGCATGCTAGAAAATGTCGACAACTCGAGTGTCGAACTATTGATGATGTTTCTTAAAACAGTTTCCTACTTGCTATTCAGGATTAGCTAATCACAACCAAACACATCGGAACCTAATACAGATGTCAAGCCCAAGAAATCATACAATATCTTATCTATACTGGGGCTGCTAAGCATTTTCTGCAATTGAATATAAGAAACAACATGACACAGTGGAAAAGATACTTCATTAAGATCTAGCCAACATTATAAATAAGCCCATCATAGTATGTTTGAGAATTATAACTATACAAGGTATACTGGGACCATACTGTGCTCACAGAGCAATAAGTGGCACATAAGAGTTATTTTCAGACCCTACTTGGTACACAAGTAGACATGGAAGATGAAATGGCTATGAACTAAGTAGAAGAGAATGAAGTAGAGAATGGAGTAGAAGCTCCGACCATAGAGGAAGAAGCTATTAAGGCCCAGAAAAACAATAAAGCCCCGGGAGTTGACGAAATACCAGCAGAACTGTATAAAGTAGATGGCGATCACCTAGCAAGTCACATCCACACGCTCATCAAAGATATATGACAAGAAGAGAAAATACTTGACGACTGAGAAAAAAGTATAGTATATCCGATCTATAAAAAAAGGAGACAAACTCCAATGCAAAAACTACAGTAGAATTTTTCTACTATGTTTAGCATTATAAAGTCCTCACGTATACAGAATAAACTCTACAATATATTGGCTGAATTGGCAATACCACACAAGCTAATTAGACTCATTAAAGCTACAATGAAACTTGATGAAACTCAGGCATGTTTCGCTGGGACTAAAACAGGGAGATGGGCTGGCCCCAACTTTGTTTAACCTGGCACTGGAGTATGCGGTTAGGCAAATGCAAACTGGACGAGGAAACCTACTGACTAACCAAACGGTTCAACTGGCTGCTTATGCCGATGATATTAATACTATGATTGGAACATCAACAGGAGCACAGGAAACATATGCAGAGTTAAAAATGCAAAAACGGCTAGATCTGGAAATTAACACAGAAAAACAAAAATAATGATACAGACGAGAAGAAATATAGTCCCACAAAACATTATATATGAAGATGACATTGAAACGGTTAGAGAGTTTAGATACCTGGTAGTAGAAATATATGCCGACGGATCAGAAGATGGAGAAATACGGAAGAGATTAACGCAGGCAAACAGAGCACATTTTGCCTTCTCCTATATAAATTTTGTTCTAAAAATGTCCGCCGAAATACAACGATGAGAATCTATAAAACCTTAATTCGACCAATAGTATGCTATGGCAGTGAAGAATGGATCCTGAAAGAAACATCCAAAAGCAAACTCGACACATTTGATAGAAAAGTACTGAGGAGAATATTAGGACCTGTGAGGAAAAACAGAATCTTCAGAAGTCGATACAACAACCAGCTTTATCAAGTTTATAAGGAGCACCACTGTCAGACTTCATTAGAATACAAAGATTGCAATGGGCCGGACATGTGATAAGAATGGGAGAGTATAGGCTACCAAAAAGAGCACTGAATGCTAGAATTCAGGGAAAGAGACTGGTTGGAAAGCCAAGAAAGCGCTGAGAAAATACAGTAAACAGTGATGCACAAGCCCTTTTAGGAGTCTGTGTATGGAGAAGATCAGCCACAGACAAGCAAGGGTGGAGCAAAAAATAAAGGAGGCCAAGTCTCAGTTTGGGCTGTAGTGCCGTAGAAGAAGAATAGTTAACAAACTAACTAAATAAACAATGCTTAATGGGGTGGTGATACCTGTGCATAACAATATGCGTGTTAAATACAAGAAAATGAACAAGTATATAGATTTTGAAATATAAATAATAAACAATTGAAAATACCAGATCACAACTATAATTCTAAAAAATACTGGTGTCAAAAGGGCCTCCTATAGAACAACAAATGGCTTAGTCTTGGTCAATATATTTATAAGATCATGCTAAAAGCGGTACTTCTCATGATATCGAGGCGTGTTGGAAAATTTGCGTGAGATACTCCAGTATACTAGGTTACCTAGGATTCAATAAGTAACCTAGTATACTGGAGTAAGAATAATATGGACAGAACTCAATCCTTTTGATGTCCTAGGTATTTGGGATGAATGAATTTCACGTTAGAAGAAAGATTGACATGGTTTAATACTGAGATAAACGGAAAAATATTGGAAACATATAAGATAACAATAAAGAAGAAAGAAGGATTTTTAGTCATAATCTATTGGAAAAATACTTACGCACTGAGTGCACCACCTCCTTTTGCGTGTCCATCCAATTTTGTGATAATTACAGATCCTACATCTACTTTTTCTTTAAAGGCTTTTGCTTGGGCTTCGCAGGCTTGACCAATTGTGGCGTCCATGACGAAAATAATATTGTCTGGTCTCTAAAAATAAATTGGGTTCATAGAAAATAACATATTTTAAATCAAACTTCCAATAATTATGGTTTATATTACTTGTAGGTACACTTTATTATGCAAATTGTATATGCAAAGGCTATCTGATATTACCTGGGATACATTTAAGTAGATGTCATGTAAAATTACTACTCATTCCAAGTAGCAGTTGATTGTAGGCAGTCATTTGAGATAGTTGATGTGCGAGTGGTGTTAAAAATGAAGCAAATGGACTATTGTGTCTTAACACTATTCACAAAAGAAAATTTAACACTGCACGGAGTTAATTTGCAGCTTACAAATGTGTATGGCAGCTGTTCATCTTCAGTGAATAGGTAAAGAAATGCTTGGTTTAATTTAAACAAGGCTGTAAACATGCAAGGTATGTCTCATAACTACATCGGAAATCATCTATTGCTTGACAGTAATCAAAGAAAAGTATTGGCACACTTTCAATGGATAGGTCATGTAATTAGGTGAGATGAAGATGCAACAATCAGAAAAATTTTTGACTTAGGAGGACCAGTGGGAAGACGGTCCAGAGGAAGACCAAAATTTAGGTATCAAGATAACATAGAGGTTGATCTAAAATCCATCGGAGTTAAAGCATGGAGAAGAGTTGCCAGAGACAGGGGCAAATGGAAGATTGTTTTGAAGAAGGCTTTGGCTCATAACTAGCTGTAATGCTACTGATGGTGATGATTGGCACACCTTTCACCCAGAATTAGACATTAAAACGCTTATGCAAGATAGTTGCTGCGTAGATCACAAACATTTGAGAAAGGTACTTGGCACATTTTAAGAAAAAACAAAAGGGACTTTTTTGATGAAATGGTACAATTTGATTAATATGGTACAACAATGTTAACATCTGAATTCAAACAGCAGTTTAAGGCCTGTTTTTCTTGAAGGGACTTTAATAATGATCACTCAGCAATGATCTTTCAATGCAATATTATGGACCAATAATAATATTTGTATACAATTTTTTTTGGAATGTCGATGTTTCATTGATAAGTGCAAGAAAACAAGTCTTTACTTTTTGTTTATTTTTGTTTGTTTTAAATTTGTTCACTAGTTGTACTTCAGTGAAATTAAAATGAATTCTATAATTAAAAAAAAACTAGATTACTTAATAATTTATTGACTTATGCGATAAAGGAGACAGAACACTTTGCTATAAAAATTTTGCAAAATGTTTGTGTTCAAAGATGAAGAAGGTCTTTATAGAAGCTGTAACAATTTTTCTAGGCATACAATCATCCCTAACTTCTGTAGTTGTCAACATTTAGAGAAAAATGGCTCTATAAGAAATACAAAGAAATAGTGCCCTAATATTGATATTATAGATGTTTCAGATAAAATATTTCTTACCACAGCATTAGAAACTGCCAACATTTCTTCAAACAATGATTCTTCTTGTTTGTGTCTACCACTTGTATCTACTATTATAATTTCAAAACCTTCCTTTTTAAACATATCAACACCATCCTGGGCTATGACTACAGGATCAACTTCTGTGTAACTATAAATAATAAAAAATATAGAAAATACATTACATCATATTAAAAAAAAAAAAGAAATATGCCCACAACCATTTGTTAATTGCTTGTTTTTTAGGATATAAATATTTCAGTTTGTCTTTTGGATTTAAATGGTTTAATGTGCAAAAGCGTGAAAAAAGAAAATTAAAGTTTATATAGAATATAGAGTCTTTAAATTGATATATGAGATTTGCCACAAAAGTATCTGAGCTTTGTTCATGCTTAAACTTTTCAGTGTCTTCTGTGGAGAATTAATTGGTATCACTGCAAATGATGGAAAGATAAAACAAAATTTTATTTCTTCGCTGAGTTTTCAGTCAAAAAGTTGAGTGAAAACTATTCTAATGATACCAAATTTTTTTGAAGAAAAGAATGGGCAAAACGCAGATAGCAGAATGGTTCAGTCAGAATAAAAATTGCTATATGTGTTTTGAAAAAATAATGAAAATTGAAAAAATTGATGTTGGATTGTTTGTGATCTAAAAAGTAATCTTGGAAATGCAGAAACTTTTGTTTAGAGAATTATAACCGAGAATACCCAGAGTTTGGGAATAACCCAAGCTTATTCCAAACTTGTTTATGTTATAGAAGAACAAGATTGGCTTAAAAGTCACTCTGGATGGTTTAAGTTTATCATTCTAGAACAAAACAAGAATTTTCACAACAAAATTTTTCATCCTAGCCCCTATGTTGACTGTCTTTTTTATTTTGATTATGTTGTGCACCATGACTGTGCTTCAAGTAGTCAGATATTTAACAATTAAATTCTAACCATTCATGTAGACGGCAATAACAAGAAAACAGTGACATTTTTGTGCAAGTAGTGAGTTTCTTAATCATAATAATGTGCGAGTACATTTTTATTGAATCTTGTACCACAGTTTCTAATAAAATACAAAGTTATACAACTCAACAACTCTCCAGACAGAATTCTGACATAGCCCTCTATGCTTTTGTGCTTCCAAAACTGAAAATTCTGCCATATTGTTTATTTGTAATGTTTATCTCAAGACATTTGAAATCTTCTTAACTCTTAACTTATGTAACTATACAGTTACATATTTCCCGGAATATTATTTATTACTTAAAAATCTGTCCAAATTATCTAGAGACCAAAGTTAGAAAAATGCCGCAGAAAACATCGGACTTCTGATTAACATCCAGAAAACTAAATATATGCCGGCCATATCAAGAATCCAACAAAATAACTTAGAGGTGTAACATGAAACGATAGAAATGGTAGAAGAATTCTGCTACTTAGGATCACTGGTAGACTACAAAAATAACATATCCAACAAGATAAAAAAAAAAAGAATATGCTTGGCTAACTGCTGTTATTTTGGTTTAGGCCCTCAACTAAGAGCGAGAAGTATGTCAATAGCAACAAAGTGCAAACTTTATAAAACAATAATACGTCCAGTGCTCACATACGGCTCAGAAACATGAGCAATGACGACCCGAGATGAAGAGTTACTACAAGTCTTTGAAAGAAAAGTATTGAGGACCATATATGGCGGAGTAAACGAACAGGGTCTGTGGAGAAGGCAATATAACTTTGAACTTTATAGACTTTTTGGTGATGCAGATATTGTGAAGACCATTAAAATAAACCCCCTAAGGTGGGTGGGCCACATTATGCGGATGGATGAGAGTGATCCCACTAAAATAACTATGCTAAACAGGCCGGTCGGAAGAAGAAGAAGGGGGCGACCTAAACTCAGATATCTGGATGATGTACAGGAAGATCTGAGGGAGATTGGAGTGAGGGGCTGAAGAAGACAGACACTCGATAGGGTAGGATGGAAGAATGTTTTGAAACAGGCCAAGGCTCACCAAGGGCTGTAGCGCCAACTGATGAAAGTTAGAAAAATTGACTTATACGGATTATACTGTAGTTTCATAAACATTTAAGGAATGAAACTTCCAGAATATAATGTCAGTTTATTAATACAACAAATTATTATACATCTAAATCATAAATAATGTAAATTGGATATAGCAGGTTCACACAACTTAAGAATATTTTGAGAGATGCATTGTTGAACTACATATATTTAAAAGCTGTGACAGTTATGTGACACTTATAAGCAACACCTGTAGTTGTAAGTTTATGATTTCAAATATGAGTGCCTTTAAAAATATATCTATGCAAAAAAAATAATAATTCACCTACCTTCCATAGAAGGGTATCCTAGCCTTTGTACAGTTCTGTTTTACCTGATCATATGCACCAGCTCTGAATGTATCTGCACATACCAAACATGATTTCCAGTTCTTTTTTTGATAATGATAAGCTAGTTTAGTACAAGTGGTTGTTTTACCAGAACCTTGTAAACCAACAAACATAATAACATTTGGTTTGCCTTTAATGGGTTGATATGGCTTTACTCCTGGGTCTACTAACTAAAATATATTCATAAATAGTAAATTATGAAATGATTTAATTTGTAAATAAACAAATAGTATGCTGATATAATATTAACATGGAATTTACTTTAACGAGCTCTTTAAATACTGCACTTTGGATCATCCTTCTCTTGTTGAGACCACCAGCCATTTCATCAAAGTCAATAACAGATTTAACATTTTCCCTGAGAGATTTAACTAATTTGATATTAACATCAGCCTCAATGAGTGCCCGACAAATATCATTTAGCATTCCATTTAAGACCTAAAACATCACAAATAATAAATATTTACAGTCACCATCATGTGCCATCTGGACTGGCATACCTCTTCATTAATAATTGTTGCCTTGCTTAAAGACTGCAAGGCGGTCGTAATTTTACGACCTAAATCCGCTAGTACCATTTTGATTTAATATCTGAAAATATTATGATTGTAAAAAATTATTTTCTCATGTCGTTAAGTTGATGCGACAAATTCTTGACGTTGTTAATAATGAAAAACAGGGTTAGAAATTTTGACGTTTTAAATGACAGAGACAGATTTGATGTGAGACGTGTCTTCCAATTAATCATGTCAGATTATTTTATCACACAAAATACATATTTGAAAATAAAATAAAAACATAAAATTTAACGTATTTTATAAACACTACGTTTAAGTACTACTTTTAATATAAATTTAATATAAAATCGTTTGATATTTAATTTTTATAATAAATTAGTACGCCACTGGCGGTCTAGAATCTTGGAATTTCTTGAAAAAGCAGTTGGTTGCACTTGTATTTCTGATTGAATTGTCAAAAAGAAAAAAACCTAACAAAAATAAGTTGTCTACATATGGAAAAATTATACAAAAGATCGTATTTATAATAATTGCTTTTCAATTTTTAGTTTAGTGATGTAATGTAACAAAACTTAAATTAAGTCAAAGGTTCGTATGTGATTTGATAATAGCGTGAATACTTTACAAAGTCTCTAAAATTTGTTGTAGATGCTTCAAAATAAATGTCGTCATTCTCCTGTGTTACCACATGAAATATGTTCATTTTGCAACACAACAACTCCAGAAACTCTATTAGATATTTGCTTTGATTACATAAATAAACACCCAGGAACAATATGTAATCCTAATGTGTCATCAAAGGAACTGCAACTGATGGATGGTTTATCTTTACCAGTGGAGATATGTGAAAGGCTGTTAAATGTTCGGAACAACAGTTTAACACCCGTGGATTCAAATTTTATTAATCTATTTAGCAATACAGACTGTACTAGATTAAAAAGGGTAAAATTAAGACAAACTGAGATACAAAACCAAGATTTAGAAACCCTTCTAAAACACTCCTTGATTGAGTTAGATTTATCATTATGTCCTAATTTAACTTCAAATTGTATCTATTATTTTAGTTACTACAGCTCTAATTTACAGTCTTTAAGTATAGGTGAAGAAACAGATATATTTCCAGTTAGGCGATTTGGAATGTCACCTCTAGATCAGGAGTTTTATGAAAAAGGCTACATTTTCATGGCACCTAATCTTAAAAGGCTTACGTTAAAAGGTTTACATCTACTAAATCCAGATTTTTACAAAATTTTATTACAGCCCCTATCTTCTTTAACTCATTTAGATTTATCAAATTGTTCAGATTTATATAATTTTTTATATACACAACATCTTGTAAATTTAACCTCTCTAATATTATATAATGTTGAAGGTATTGAATCCAAAATACCCGCTATTTGTAAATTGAAAAATTTAAGGCATTTAGATATATCTACTTCCAAGTCAAGAAATGGTCAAGGAAAGTATAAGAAAGGAAATACAATTTTGAAAACTATTGTAGATAGTTTACCTAAGTTGACATCTTTAGATATTTCTGGTACAAATTTGGCTGGAAGAGGTGTTGCAGAAACTACTAATGGTACAATGTGTGATATCCCTGGTTTGAGTTCAAGAGCCAATAATCCATTTCAATATTTGGGCCTTTATGAGACATCCCATGATGCTTGTTTGAGACATGACATACCTGCTAAATTGGTGAGTACTACAGTAGAAATAGTTTTTTTGGCAAGACTTGGTTGAAATAAATAAGTTAGATTGATTTCAATTAAAGTTAAAAATCTGATGAAAAAGATACAATTTTAATTTTTAGGACTTACTGATACTGGCTATGTACTGGCTTACCAAGCCATACGGACATAAGTTCTCTTTCAATTTCTAATTTTACAGCTAATAATGTGCTTCAAAGGGGGGAAGAGGCTGTCAGTTGTAAAGGTTTTTATTTATGTATTTATTTAATTAACGGATATACCATTTTTACAGAAATATGATGTTAACCTTTACAAAGCTTATATGGGGCGGTGAAAGGAAAAGTGGTGTAAGTCATCTGAGCATCATTTTGAGATATAAAAGGTTTTACTAGAAACGTTGTAATTAAATCTGTGAAACATTTATGAACATGCTTGTGATTTTTTTTTATTTACTAAGAACATGTTCAACTCTATTAACATTTTTGTAAAAATAAAACTATGTTAAGGGTAGTTTTTAAGGGTTGAAATGACTTACACCACTTTTCCTTTAAGAGTTTAAAGAGAATGTAAAGAAAGCAAAACATGTTTATTGTTTTTACATTAGAAAATCAAATATAAATTCACTAGTTTATTAGTCATTGTTTTCTTCTACATCAGGAAGTGGTCCAGCTTCGTCATTGACTTCATCAGATGATATAAGATTTCTAAAATAAGAATGGTGGACTGGAAGAATGTATGGTAGTAAATCACACATATCCCGTTTTTTAGCTGGCATTACTGGTCGAAGTGCTGTGTACAGGCAATCCAGTTGAAGATTTTTCAACAATGTTGGTCTTCCCTTCTGCTTGCTTTGAAGGATATTAATTTGTGAAAAGGAAAAATCTTCATTTAATGTTTCTTTATAGAACAGTGAAAATGGCTCATCTTTTTTGACTCTAATCCATTGCATTTTTAACCATGACACTGGTTGGTTATCAGTATTGGTTTTTCTTTTTGAAATTGATTTAGTGAGATTTTTCAGATCTTTAAAGTCTTCTCTAAGCATTTTTGTGAAAATGAAAGCTTTTTTCTTTCTACACCGAACTATGACTGAAAACCAATCTTCAGGCACATAAATCAGTTTGCCTTTAGAGTGAGTTTCAATTGAACCAAAGTCGGAGTCGTTTGGTAAGTAAGAGTGTCCGCTTATCATAAACTTGTGATCAATTATTTCGATAGTATTGTTTTCACTTTGAACTAATCGTAACAAGGCCAAGGCAAAATTCCAGTTTCTATTTTGGCCGGTGCAGCTGTCACTGTATAATACAACATGCTTTGAATTTGCTGCACGTAATTCTATGTGCTTTGTGACACAGGCACTGATTTCCTGAGATCCTCTCGAAGCTGTTGTTTCATCCCATCCATACATGTAGCCTAAGCCAGATGATAGCTCATGGCAGCCCAAATTGTAAATGTACATATTACGTTTATAGTATGCGATAGATGTGGTTAGTTTTGGGAAAGGTAGGGCTTTCTCTAAGTCAAACGTGAATGCATAGTAAGAATCGTCAGTCTGGGCCTTTTCTGTATCCTTTTTCATAGAAGTACGTGCCAGCTCGGCCTTCCTAAGATGGAGTTCGTGCTCAACTTCAATCTGTTTTATCTCATTAGCATCTGTTGTTGCAGCTTTTTTTAATTTGTAAGCATCACACTTAGAGCACGTATCTTTTTGTGGTACATGAAAATGAAGGTTGTACTCATTATTGAATGTACGGCGATAAATATCACTGGAAACGGGGACAGTAACTTGTTCCTGACAGTACTCACTGTACAAACGATACAGCAGGGTAACATTAAGGTCAGAAGATAGATACCTACGATTGGGATTCTTATTCCTTGTGTAGTGCGATTGGTAAGATGGAAAATTTTGAATATGTTTCCGGACACAGTTCATACGTTCTTCAGATATTTTATTAGTTGGTATACCATGGCCTCGATTATCTGAACCAGGTGGTTCCCCTTGTTTTATCTTATTAATGGCCCGTGACATTCGGCCATCAGATATCTGAAAGGTTCCAAGAAAGTATTTTTTACATACTTTCGTGGTTTCGCCTTGTTTTTGAATGAAATATTGGTTAGACACTGTCTTACCAGGTCGTGACTGATCCCTAGGACGTTTTATTTCAGGTTTCTTTTGTTTGATTAAACCACAAATAAAAGCATTCTGTGCTGTAAATGATTTCAATTTCCAGAATGAATCAAATGCTTTTTTTCTGTCTTCACATGACATAGTTTCAAAACAGTTTTTATTGCAAAAACAGTTGTTGTTTGAAAAAGTTTTACCTGCCACTACTTTTCCTTTTGTTGTCTTATACTCACAACCTGAGTTGCGAAGTCGCTTTATTTTTTCTTTTTTATTTTCATGCCTTTGTCGTTTTCGTGCTCTCTTGGGTTGTTGAACTTCTACTTCTCGAATACTTTCGCTTTCATGGTCTTGCAGAGGGACTTCCTCATTTGATTCACAGTCTGAAACAAACCAACTTTATTAAAATAACACTCAAAAACGTTGTTCTATTTATACAAGTTTATTTATTGTTAGTGTAGAGAATTCAACATTTTGAGATTAGTTTTTATTTTATACAAATAAATATAATACACAAGTTTAACTTACCAATACTTTCTTGTTGAGAAGAAGGTACCCACTCCTCATCTCCTGAGTAAGCGAAAATACTAGGCTCAACACTCACATCACTTAAACTGTCGTTATCCATTGTATTGAAAAATCACAACTACAAAATACTAAACAACTGTCATAGGAATGACGGAATAGTGGTGTAAGTCTGACTTGCACCACTATTCCCTCTACTACAACAGAGATTTTGTTTGACTGTCAAGTTTGTGCTGCTATCTGTGAGCAAATGGAAGACTTATGACACCACTATTGCGTCTGATAGATTTAAATATGGAGATTTTGAATATGCAATTATCTCTATTCTATAAAAAAAAGTGACTTATACCACTTTTCCTTTCACCGCCTCATATATAGGTTGCGTTAATAAAAACCAAACCAAAATTAAAATCAAACAAAATTCAATTAAAGTAGTAGCTTAAGTTATTAAATAATGCTCAAAATCTCTCAAATGATTTCTTAAATGTTGCTGTAGATATTCCAAATAACTCTAAACTATTGCTGTGCTCATTGGCAGTTCGTAAAATTCCTGTAATGGGTTCATTTTGGCCATAATTCGCAGTGTGGAATGGAATGTTGAAAATCTCAGTGTTACAAGTTCTTCTAGTATTAACATTAAAATTTATTAAACTTAGTAACTCTGGATCTTGAACATATCCATTTATAATTTTAAAAAGGAAACATAAATCCACTTGACATCTTCTATTATGTAGTGATGAGATATTTAGTATTGACAGTATATCATCATATGTGTATTGATGTCTAATAAAACCAATTTTGTAAGCACATACCCTCAAGAATTTATTTTGAACTCTCGCGATACTGTAGATGTCACTGTTATATAAAGGAGACCAAATGAGAAAACCATACTCCAAAACTGATCGAACTAAACTACAGTATAACATTTTTAAAGTTTGTACTGAAAACTGATTACAGTTTCTAAGAATAAATCCCAACATTTTTAAAGCTTTAGCTGAAGTTTCGTTAATGTGATATTTAAAAGTTAGTTTAGAATCAAAATTTATACCTAAATCTTTAATATTATGACATGCCTCTAAAGGTACATTATTTATACAATAATCATAATTTACAAACTCTCTTGTTCTTCCAAAAGTAATTTTAAAACATTTTTGTATATTTAAGTATAGCAGTCCTTAGCGTCTGCTGCTAGGTTAATAAATTATGAGGTTTACAGGTGTATATGTTTATTATAAGTAATTTTTTGTACTTGAAATAAATTTAGTTTTTTAATTTAATTAGGAAACAAGACTGAAAAATGTAAGTCATGAAAACATGGCTTACATTATATGCTTTAAATATTTTATGAAGAGTTGCTTATGTTTTCCTGTCTCTTTTAGATTGGAGGTAACGCAAATGAGGAGCAAATTTTAGTCGCAGCTTTAACATACTTAGATAGGACCGATATGTTACAGAAAGTCATGAATGAACTGTTCCATTTGTTCAGGTTAGAAAACATCGAATATCTAGGACAGGCACTGAATATAGTATTGGAGGCAATGAACAGGCATTTACATGAAAGGAATATTCAAATATCTGGAAGGTAAGATAAATACTTGACAAAGAAATAAACAACTTGTTAACTTTGTATAGTTATAACTCAGTCAAACTTCTACGAAATAGATTTCTAGCTAGCTTTATATAACTGGTCCACATTCCATTTGCTTGTGGGTAATTTTCCACGCTTGCTTTACTCCAGGATAATTGTACATATCATTTTTACTCGTTGCTCTGATATTTTGCCCATTTTCCATATGGAATCCTCTGTGCTGAACTGTTTTTCTCAGACTCAAAGTGTAACCAACATTAGAAATAAATCATTTTCTAAGGTAGTGCTTCTCACAAACACCAATGGCATCTCTATAATTCTTGATTCTGAAGTAGTTAGTTAGTTTCTTATTTTAGTTCAATTTGCAGGATATTCATAACCTTCAGAACTTTCGAAAATATTTGAAATAGACCACATAGACAAATGAGGTTTGAATTTGAATGATCTTGTTTATGAATTTTATTACATTACTGATAAATAACTCTCCTATATATAATACAGAAGTAACAAAAATGGCGAAAAGAAGTTTTAGATGATCTTATTTTCTTTAAATTTGCTTTTTAAAGAAAGCAAAAAATTGTTAACAATTTAGGTTATTTCTTGAATTTTTTCTCCTTTTCGAAATCTTTTGATTGTGTTACAACATTCAAAATAGGACTGAATTATCGCAATGTACAATTTAATTTAATTAATTGTTCACTATTGTTATTGTGTTGCTTTTTATAACCCTGTCTATCCTGTCATGCCAATATAATTCTTTGATTTATTTACGAACTACCCTCTTTTGTAGCGCTACCTTATTTTATATTGTAAAAGGTACTGGAAACGAATTACATGATGATGTAAAAGTGAAAAGGAAAATAATAACAACTCTTTTGAATGGTATGAGTATTTATAGAATCGATGAGACCATGATGAGGAATGGTTGCTTGACACTATGTCAGTTTAGGATACCAACAGATGTAGTAAGTAAAAATATTTTGTTCGTATATTATGTTACACTTATATTTAATATCTGAAATGTTCTTCTTATATTTATATTGCAAGAATAATACATATAAGAAAAGTTGTTGCAGTATTTGATGTTGAAAGAAGTTAATGTTGGAAAATTTCTATCTGCATTTTAACAATATTTTTATTGATTTATTTCATAAACTTGCACTTCCTTTGTTTCAGTTATTTGATTATGTGAGGCTAGTTGACATTCTTCTCTATTCAGTATATGGAATGGCGCAGGAGAGTTTTGTGCAAAGGATAGGCATATATTTATTGAATTCTTTGGCCTGTCAAGTGGATGGACAGCAGAAAGTCAAACTTGGTGCATTAGGGGCTATAGATGTGAGCATTTTACAATTATAAACACCATTTATACTAGATTTTACACGCGTTGTTTACTTATGTCCTGTCAAATTCTGGCCAAATATTAATAATAAAATATAAATAAATATCATTTGAAATAGATGTTTATGCCCAGAAGGCGACGATGTTACAAACCCGAGGGCTTCTGGTTCGAGGGTTTGAAAATCTCCCGAGGGCATATACATCTATTAATATCCGCGGTGCATACAAACTTTTATGTCATACTAGTTCGTTATTGCATCCACAAATAAATATGTTCTAAAAAATCCGAAAATTCGATTTTGACAATATACTTCCTAGTAGACATTCTATCGTCCGTGTTATGTTGCTACGCTACGGAAATGTTGTCAAACTAAAACCTTGAAAATGCAACGCAAAAGTTACTACCACATAAGTCGCGAGATGCCTATGTTTCTAATGAGTTATCTTTTTGTTTGTATATTTACGCCCGTGCGGGCCATAAAGTATACTTTATCCCTTTCAGACCCGACTTTTTCTCTGCAGAAAAAAAACTATTGAATCTTCTTAATGGCAGATTGTAATAGGTTACAATTATATTTTTGACATTTTTGTTTAACAGTTAGTCGTTTGACAGAATGTCCATTGCAATGAACATTGGGACTATAATACATACGATATTGTTATTAAATATACTATATTTGTATCAAGCAAATTTTGAGTTAATTTAAATGAAAATATTTGAAACAATTTTTATTCTTTACAAAACATAAATGTACATTACATTTTTCACAAAAAAACATGCGTTTTCCCTTACTTACCCAAAGTATACTTTATCCCTTTCAGACCCGACTTTTTCTCTGCAGAAAAAAAACTATTGAATCTTCTTAATGGCAGATTGTAATAGGTTACAATTATATTTTTGACATTTTTGTTTAACAGTTAGTCGTTTGACAGAATGTCCATTGCAATGAACATTGGGACTATAATACATACGATATTGTTATTAAATATACTATATTTGTATCAAGCAAATTTTGAGTTAATTTAAATGAAAATATTTGAAACAATTTTTATTCTTTACAAAACATAAATGTACATTACATTTTTCACAAAAAAACATGCGTTTTCCCTTTACACCCAACATTTTTGCATCTGGATGCTTCCTTTTTGTTATTATACTCGGGTAAATGATCGATTTTATCTATCCTTATTTCCTTCGATGGTCTAATTTCCACTCTGGGTCTTTTTGGATTGTGGGGAGAATTTTCATTTGACATTTTGGGATGACCAATGCTTATTATTATGCAATGCAATATTAATAAATATTTTTTACCTACATTAGCAGTATAAAAATTAATGTCTACTATTCAATAAAATAATATTTGGTTGCATATAATAAATTTACGACTTGAAGAAACATGATATTTACTTACGCTTTCCGGGGTATCGTAAATTCGCCATGTCACACTATCTTTAAAAGCACTTAACTGGGCTAGGATTCAAACTAAACTAAACAAACTGAAAATTCAGCAATGTCAGCAATTTACAGAAGTTTAATTTTGTTGTAGGGCTTACGTAAATGTATGTCCATTGTAATGGACACCGGGTCTGAAAGGGTTATGCCGGGAATAAAGTACACTATTACGTAGTTGGTAACTAAGCAATAATAAACTAATATACGAGAATTATTATAAAAATTTAGCAGATGATTCAATGATGTTATTAATCGTATGACATTTATGACTTTTTTCTACTCTCTTACTAGTAAATTGTATATTACCTACTATTTGGATGCTAAGTAAATGCATCATAACAGATACTGACACGTAATGACTAGCACGTAATAAAAAAAATTACGCTTCAGTTTTATAAAAATGTGTAATATCACATAAGCCTCCCAAGTCAGTTGGTCGAGTTACCATGGAAACGGATTAATAGACGTTATTTTGACAGATTAAAAATTATTAATCTGTCAGTGTAAATATAGTGGTAATTTAATTTTTATTTTTATAAACGAAAATAATGGTAGAAAAAGTATAGTACACAACTTGAGTTGTAAGCTTATTACATGCTTGTAAAATTACTGCGCTCGCCGCTACGCGGCTCGCGCGCAACTTTTTTACTCACATGTAATAAGCTTCTTACAACTCTCGTTATGTAATATACTATTGTTAAATTTTGACAATCATTACGAATCAAATATTTTAGTGACAGATATTCTTTTAATTTCTTACTTCTCATTTAATGTCTGTATTTTTTATTTATTTTGAATGCAGTTTTCAATTTAAACCTGCTTAGAGTAAATTCTATGTGACTAGAAACGGATTCATCGAGAGGAGTGAATCGATGTCAAGAACCGCTATTCTATGACGCTAGCCGTGACGACGTTATCACGTAGCGCCAATTCCGTGACGCTCGCCTCAGCATTTTACTGTGGAGAAAAAAGAATAATACAACGCCAGTACAGAAGCATCTCTTCAATAAAAACTTAATGATTAATAAAATATTACCCCACTTTAGATTATTAGGTTAATCATTTTATTACATGGTCATGATTTCTTACTTTTTTTTTAGAGGATGATATGGTTAATTAAAGAAAGACTGGAAAGAGGAATATGTGATGATGTATTGGAAGTAGCTTGGTCAACGATGTGGAACGTGACTGATGAAACACCGTTGAATTGCAAAAAGTTTTTGGCTCAGGACGGAATGCAACATTTTTTACAATGTCTTGAAGTAAGCATTTCTATTGTTATAACATTTTAAGGCTAAAACAGTTTTTTAAGGTTTTTGTTATACTTAGAGCAGATATAAAGTGATATTTGACCTTAAGTTTTGTCTTGGTGTCTGTCAGTAACTATTTATTTTCATTTTTAGAAGTTTCCCAATAAAGAAGATCTCCTTCGTAACATGATGGGTTTACTCGGCAACGTGGCCGAAGTCAAAGAACTCAGGCATTACCTTATAACTCCAGAATATTTATCAGTATTTGCTAGGCTATTGGAGTCTCAAAGTGACGGCATCGAAGTTAGTTACAACTCAGCAGGTGTCATCTCTCACATAGCTTCCGATGGTCCGGACGTGTGGACGGTGCAAGAACCATCAAGGCATTATGTGTTAAGCAAAATGGTCGAGGCCATCGAGAGTTGGAATATAAATTCTCAAAGAAATATTAATTATAGATCTTTCGAACCAATACTGCAGCTGGCAAAAGTTTATCATACACCAGAATGTCAGCATTGGGCAGTTTGGGCCTTAGCTAATTTAACAAAAGTTTATCGTAAGTATTATTGTTTCTTATATTGTTACTTACAGGGAAAAATCAGAATAAAAGCAAAAAAGTTAAATCGGAAGGAAAAAATGCCAAGGTAAAGTTCCAAAAAATAAAAATAAATGATGAGGTATAGATATGGAATAAAGACCAGGAACAACTTGAAAAAACAGAAAACTAAAGCAGAAATCAATTAAAAAAGGAACAGAGATAAATTAAACGAAATTAACGCAAGACAAAGCGATGATTTGGATTAAAAACAAAAAGAAAATTAAAACTAACTTAGATACATGGAATGTAAGAGGTATAGTATTTATAAAGTCAGTTGAAACGCCCAAAAAACTGGTTGCCGACAAACACTAAAAGAATAATATCATATTACCAGACATGGGCGCATCATTTATTTTTATAACCAAATATAGATTAATGAAGAACAAGAAAAGAACAATTTTAATTTACTTAAAGCTGTCATAAAGTACATAAGTGTATAAAAAAGTTTTCAACATGTCATATTAAACAACAAAAATAATTTATAATTAAATGGCAATAGGCCATATTGACAGTATAATAATTTAAATATACTTCGTAAAATATTGAACATTTTAGCTGTATAGCACTGGCATGCATCATCAGCGTTTTTGATCTGTACCCACCGCCGAGGGCTGGACAACCTCCAAGTAGCGTGTTTAATATTGGTGATTTTGAATAACATATCAATGTCCAATATTTATTTGATGGGATTTATCTTTCATTCCCTCTTTCTTCCATCTATTTCCTACGAAATACGGGGATTGTTCAAATACGTTTGAAACATAGACGACTGATATTTTTATACTTCAACTGGATTACCGGTAAATGTAATACTGAACTGCCCTTATAAATCGAGTCGAAGAGAAATGTTTCAACTGACTTTATAAATACTATACATATTAAACGGGAAAACTTACGGAATTAATTAAAGTAAAAATCCACTATTGGGAAGAGTGATTTCACCGTTTAAACGCCGAATATCCTCAAATTTAAATGAACACAGCGACTATCGAAAACTATCCGTTTAATTTGCGTTTTCTCATAAGAAATCACAGAATGTATAATTAGTACCATTATTTTTTGTACTTCATAACCTGGATTAACGAAGCTCATACAGTCAGAAAAACATTAAAAGTAAACGCGAAGCATTTATAGAAGGCTGGTTTACAGTAAGCTCCATTAGAAAAGAGACGACGTTTAATCATTACCCATATAGGAAGTGATACAGAGTTCCTTGATGATGATTTGCTTCAATTTGAGTCAACAGAAACAGGAGTTTATCATGAAGAAATTACTTCCGAAGTCTTTGAGCGCTGGTTTAAGAAAATTAGAACAATTGAACAAAATTAGAACCGTGACGTCAGGTCACGTCAATAGACGTCTTAGCGTAACTTCCTCGACAGCTGGGTAGCACCAATAAGCTTTCTGCAAATTTATTTGTTTTTTTTATAGCTTTTTGCTTGTATCATTCTGTATTTTTAGGGAAATGTAGGGACAAAAACCACAAAATATTTATTCATATGTTTAATTTACTGACGTTTCGATCTCTATATCCAGAGACCGTTTTCAAATATGCAAATGATAGTTATATTTATTTTTCTATAGCTTTTATTTTTTACTATACTCTGTATATATATTAAGATGGCAAGATTATATGTATTATACGTCTCACGTCGTTTGATTTGATGTGTCGTGCTAGTATTATGCTAGTTGTTTATTTTGTAATCAGTCAGATGCCTTCTTCCGGTCAAGAAAGCAAATTTACCTTATGCTTTATATATAAAGCAAATATGTCTATTATCGTCCATATACGTGATATGTCGTATGTTGCTCTACGTTCATTTATAACGAAGTTGATGTGTAGTATCCTTTTGGATGTCTCTTTGTTTATTTTTTCTATCTGAATATATTCGTTATATCCTCCCCTTTCATTTGCTATGTCGCATGTTAGGATTTGATCAGTTGTTTATTTTGTACTCAGCCAGAGGCCTTTTTTTAAGGTAATAATAGTACCCTATGATATCTTGTATGTAGCTATCTATCTATCTATCTATCTATACAGCCCTTGCTGTCCAATTTTGGACATAGGCCTCCTGTTCCTTCTACCACGTTTCTCTATTGTAGGCAGTTTGTATTGTCCACTTTGGGCCTACGTGTTTTTCAAGTCATCTGACCATCTCATTTGTGGCCTTCCTCTTTTTCGTTTGTAACTATATGGTCTCCAGTGTATAATCATCTTATTTCATCTGTCGTCTTTCTGTGTTATGGTATGTCCAGCGAACTTCCACTTAAGTTTTGCTATCTGCTTTAAAACATCGGCAACTTTTGTTTTGCTGCGGATCCAAGTATTTCTTTTCTTGCCTGATAGACTGATGTCCAGTAATTGTCTTTCCATGGCTCTTTGGGTCTTTGCTATTTTCCCATGTTTTTCTTTGTAAACGTCCATGTTTGAGAACAGTAGGTGAGAACAGGAAGTATACATTGGTTGAAGACTCTTGTTTTTAAATATTGGGGGTATTTTCTATTTTTTAGTATATAGGAAAGTTTTTCGAAGGATACCCAAGCCAACCGTATCCTTCTCTTTATTTCTCCGGTTTGGTTTTCTTTATTTAATTTATATAGTTGTCCCAAATATACATATTCTTTTACTTGTTCTATAGTTAGGTAAAGAAATAATAAATAAGACTTACTCACAATCAATTTAATGTAACTATTCAGACGACCGGTTTAGCTTTCTACAATATGCAAAGCATCTTCAGGTCTTCAAGTTAAATAAATGCTGAAATGATAAAAACCCATATTAGGATGTTGTCTAATAAAGATAAACAAATTAGATGTTATAAATTACAATAATTATGCCAATATTACATGTCTGTGGTTTTTTCAAAATGAATAAAAAGGTTTAAAAAGTTTAAACAGACAAGGTAAGACCCACTAATTGTTACAAAATAGTCTATTAGATTGCAATAAATTAATAAATGAGCAAATAAATAAACATTACTTACATGTCGGTACTCTATTAATTGATGGATGGTAGAACATGGTTGAAACTATCAAGTATTGTTGAATGGAGAACTTAAGTCTGCTATTGTAGTTGTTTGACAGTAAACGGGAAGTTCTTGAGGAGATAGATTTGATCCAATGAAGTAGAAATAGGTGTGTAATTGTTTGTTAAATGAAAGTGATGTTATATACCATTGTATTATTTAAAAGTTATTTATACATATTCGAGAGATATATTTATGAAATGTGTGTTATTTATTGAGTATTTGTTTTATGAAGGTGACAGTTTTATGACAATGAATAAGCTTAGATGTACAAATTGTGTGGGTGTGCAATTCTTTCAACTTGTAATTATCAAATTTCTTTGATAAAGTTCTATTGGCAAATGGTAGATTATTGCAAAGTCGAGTATATAAAATATAAAAGTTAAATCAATTAAGGACAATTTAAACACACTAAAACAGAAAACACTTAGAAGGGACGAAACAAACATTAAATTTCTAGCACAGACTAACACAAGCAACACATTCATGATTTGTTCTATAGTTGTTTGTCAAATTGTAATTATTAAGTCTTCTGGTTGGTTGGTCATAATATTCGTTTTATTATAATTCATTTGTAGACCTATTTTTGTTGATTCGCTATTTAATTCATCCATCATATTTTGTAATTCTTCCCTTTTATCTGTTATTAATACAATGCCGTCTGTATATTTCAAATGATTAAAGTATTGGCCATTTATGTTAATATCCCGTTTGTCCTCATAACGTCTTCCAACGCTTGATTGAACAGTTGAAAAGCTTGATTGAATAGTTTGGGTGATATAGTATCACCCTGTCTGACTTCTCGCCGTATCTTAATAGGCTCCGTTTGTTCAACTATTTTAATGGATGTTGTTGCTTGATCATATATATTGGAAATTAAGTCCGTATATCTATAGTCTATTCTCCCATTTTGTAAAGAGTTCTTTACTGCCCAATGTTCTACCTTATTGAATGCTTTTTCCTTAGTTGTTAATCTGTTTGATAGTAGTTTAGTTAACAGTTTGTACATTACCTTACATGTACAGTTTGTACATTAACTAGCGTTGTGGGCCTATAGTTTTTCAGACCTTTTCTATGTCGCTATACATTCATTAATAATGGAGATACTATGCAGTGCCCTTTTGGCAGGGGCATTACACAGTATCTTCATTATCTTGGCATTACTAGAGAAAAATTGTTTAAAATTAGCTACGTTCCGAACGGCAAATTTTAAAGAATATATTAGCAAAAAAATATTATTGTTTTAAATATATTCATAGTTTATTGTTTTTATTTTAGCTGAAAAATATTGCGGTTTAGTGGAACGAGAAGGTGGTTTACGTCTTCTCAAAGAATTGATATACCAACCAATGGTACCACCGAGAGTGAAAGTTTTAGCATCAATGGTCGTAGAAAATTGTCGAAATTTTCAGGAAACTTTGGATGGATAGGTTTTTTTTATATAAAGTAAACAGGTGTTAAAATACTCATCAAAGCATTTTAATTTTGTTTGTGATCTTTATGGGCGAATATCAAAATGGTACCTTAATCGGTACAAATGATATGTTGTCCAATAAACTATGTCGCGTCTAAGCTTTTAGCCGGCTTACTAATGCATTTTCAGATTTTGTAGCAGATTTGAGGTGGAAACTGAATCATTAACTAAAGAGCAAATCTGGACTACTATTTACAACTCAGCATAAATAACTTACTAATCTTGTGACATCACTTTAGGTAAATGTTTTTAAACTAATAATAATATATTAAAAGCCATAAGGTGCATTTTATTTTAAATTTGTATGATTTGGTTTTAAATAACATTAGCGAGATTTTGTATAGTAGAGTCTATGTCGAAGCATTTATCACAAAGTATTTAACAAGGTAAATTGTTCTTAATAACGTTTAAAAAATGTATTCTCTGTAAATATCATCCATGCAAAAGGATTTTTCACAACAAAAAGAAGTAATAAACTAAACTTTAAATTCTAATGACGCTACAACCCTTTGTGAGTCTTGGCCTGCTTAACAATGTTCTTCCATTCCGCTCTGTCGGACACTTTCCTTCGCCACTGCCTGATGTTCATGGTTTTAAGATACCTCTCTACGTCGTCTATCTATCTTTTACGGGGCCTATCGATTTTAAAATACCTAATGATTTTATATATCATATAGATTTCATTTTATTTATTTAAGGTATGCTTAACATTAACACTAAGATCTAAGAGAATCAATTACATCATATACTTTTCAGTTTTCTGTCTCCGTGTAATTTAAATTACTGAACGTTTGCTATCATATATCTGGGACCTACAGACCTACAGGTTTGTATTTTTTCATTTTTGAAATTAGTTTCCTGAAGACAAATTATGTCTGGATTGTATCTACCCAGAATTATTTGGAGCATCGGAAGGTTATTGTAAAAGCCGTTAATGTTCCATTGCAAAATTGAAGAGAAGCCCGTGTATAATAAATAAAAACTGAAACTTGGGATTGTTACAGAAGTTTATGACTCGGTCCCTGAGATAACTCACTTTCAGTCTCTGATGTCTCACTATCCGAGTAGGTCATCTGTAAATGTATCAGTAGTTTCTTTCTTATTTTTGTACATCTAGATTTAATGGATCTTTGTTTGAAGTAAGGGTATATTGCTGTTGCATTTTTCTAAGGCTTCTTAGTAAATCGTTAGTGTAGTTTTTTATGACGCTGACTGGATCCTGTGCACCATAAACATTTTCCAAATAGATCGGAAATTTGATTAAAATCAAGAATAAATGGAGGGTTTTCTCTGAGATGAATGCCTTGGCCGGTTCCATGAGTATGTGAGTTGGTGTCTTTTCCTTGTTTTTTTTTTGGATGGAGCATCATTTGGTTTAACAAACGGGTCTAGACTTGGGTTTTCTGAATCAGCATCTTGCGCTGGAGGACTGTTAAATGACTCTGTTTTATATAATTTTAACAAGTACTTACAGGATGGAATAGAACACACTCTTATGCACTTATATTGATAAAATAAAAAAAATTTAATCAATAACTACTTTATAAATAACAGTTTTTGTTTGGAGCTGACAAATTCGCACTAATTAGTATACCTGTCAGGACCGAACTCCAATCTACCGTATTATACTTATTCTAAAATGATTTGATATTCGAAGTCTTTCAGCAATATCTTTTGTATTGAAAAGGCATACATAAGTATATTTTTAAAAAGTTTCGTATAAAATTCAAATGTTTTACATGTATAAATCAAAGGTACTTGTTGACGGTTACACGGGAAAGCCAACAAACCAAAATAGTAACCAAATGGTTTTTACTGGTCATTAAATAACCTTTAGATTATCGTATAAAGTTAGCACACAATCATAAGAAGCATTTTTATTGCTTAATTAACTCTTAACGAAGTCACTTAACAATCGAAGTCACAAAACAAAACCCTAAACGGCAATAAAATGTATATCATTTTAAATTACAAAAAAAAAATTAATTAAAAATCCTTTGTAAAAGGTATATATTTAAGGCCCAAACGGGCTAAGTTAAAAAAGACATAACGTTTTCGGAATCCATGTTCCATCATCAGTGTCTAGGAGTACATGAGTACTAGACACTGATGATGGAACATGGATTCCGAAAACGTTATGTCTTTTTAACTTAGCCCGTTTGGGCCTCAAATATATACCTTTTACAAAGAATTTTTAATTAAATTTTTTAATACATGGTATACAGCCAACTACAGGAACGTAGATTCCTTGTGAATTTTAAATTACGTTTGTTAAATTACGAATATTTTGTTGTTAGAATTTATCAGTGTTGTTATTTTAATTATTATTAGAACTGTTACAACAAATTTATTCATATATTCATCTTTTATGAACTTTTATGTGTTATTATAAGTTTATTACACCTATGGTGACTTCTGCAAAATGATTATTTAAAATCGGACATTTTTGATCTAGTTTAATTGCATTAATTACTCCAACATAGGAATGGATTTCAACAATCTAAGAAAGAAATAATGGACAAACTGTAGTTTTTCTACTGCTTAAATATAGTTTGAACATTAATGATGTTTAATTACAATTAAATTGGTTTGCCATGTCGTGGCAATAATATTCGTTATGATAGTCCTAAGAATACTTTATCAAAGTTTTTGTTACTTTGATAAATTGAAAATTGAATATGTACCATGTATGTAATGTACTCAAAATGATTCTGTCTGAGATGTCTGTTTATTTAGATATAGAATTAATATAAAATTTAGTAATACTTGTTTAGGTTTGTAAAATAAAGTAAAAATTATGTCATGATTGCATTTTAGATTTGTTCATGGTTTTCCTATTAAACTAGAATGAAAATATCAACAAGAGAGTTTTACAGTCATGATTGAATATTAGCTATAAAGTATTCTTCTATTGATCACTATAAACCCATAAATAATCCTATTGATCACTTATCTGAATAGAATGTTAGATCTAATTCTTTTCACTGTCTACTACGAATGGTATTAGACTATTAATTCATCAGGTTTTTTTTCTGCCAGATTGTAGTGATCCTCGATATTTCTTTGTATTCGTAGGTGGAGGAGGTTGTATTTTTTTTCTTTCTCCTAACATTTCCAAAGTTCCTGCTTTTTATGATGTTAAATCATTTCCAGTGTTTTCGCTTACGCTTTTATACCATTGCATTTATCATCTGGGTTCGTTGACATCTAGTTGCGTGCTCCATAATAAGCTAGCTTCACATGCGATTGGCGTGGCATGCGTATCTAGCCTTCTTTATTGTGCACTTCATCTGTTTCGAGTGATCCTAATCCTGATTTAGATTATATTCCATATAAGGAAACTCGTTCTGTTTGTGACAGGATCATATCATAGTGTCATATATGTCTTGGATTATTGTTTATATGCATTTTTACATACATGCCAGCTTGTACGGTTTCGTACTCATAGAGAACGTGGTGATTTTTAAATCGCGCTGTGATCAGTGATCGTGATTTTTAAATAACGGTGATTTTAAATGGTGACGTTCTCTTACGTACAGTAACAAGTATCGTATAAACAACACGATCGCGATCACTTTGTGTTAGGTAGTACTATAAAAACATATTGTTGATAATGAATATGTTTAACTAACGCAACTAGATGACTTGACTTATAATAAATTTACAATACTAACAATAAAGTGATCCATTTAAAGCACTATAAAACTTTCTTGATAACGCTTCCTCTTTAAAAATAACTCTAAATTTTCATTAAAATTTTTTTTATGAACTTTTGAGAATGTTTTTATGAAAATAATATATTCGTTTAATCAACAACAATATTTTAAATTTATTATCGTAAAAAGACAAATATCAGTAGATAATAACATAAAATATCTCATATCTCAGTTCCCAATATTTACCATTGGTAAATCCCCAGATATTAAGTCACCTTTTTCCCAATCACGTTCACCGAGTTTATCATAATATTTATTATATAAACAAGTTGTACGAGACAATTAACAAGTTATATTAAAGAATATAACTTGATATTTTTAAACATCTTATTTAGTTTATATAATAATTAAATTTACTATCAAATGATATTTATTTGCAATGATTTTTGCTATTATCAGTTCGACTACTTTATTAAAGTGCGTTATTAGTAAAACATTTTCATATTTTATACAGTCACGGCGGAAGAGTCCATTTGTGTAATATTAATATTAATAATGAAAATATTTTTCCGATTTCCGAAAATCCGATTCAACTCCTCCGAGGTTTAGGCCCTCTTTGTGTTGTGTTTTTCACTTTTTTTATTTGTATATATTTTTTTTTATTTTATTTATTTGTATATATTTTTTTTATTTTATTTTGTAATTATTTTATTCTTATTATAAATATTTTTTTTCTAAGCATCAATTTTCATATTTTTTAGATGGTTATATACAATTTTGTAGAAATTTATATTATGTGTACATAGAATGGCATTTAAATCATAGAACATAGAATGTACAGTGTACAAAGAATGGCATTTAAATCACATGCTCTAATGTATCCAACCCTCCGCAAGTGCAGTTTTGAGAAGTAACCAACCCTATTTTATCTTTGTGGGATGGATATAAACCATGTTTGTTCCTTGCTCTGTTTAAGGTCTTAATGAAATGATAATTTATAATAAACCATAATATAGTAAAACCACAATTTTCTATGAATTTTTGGTTGGATATCATGAAATCTTGTACCTTTTAATCATTTGTCATATTCCTGTTGCCACTGTTCTATTTGTTTTTTCTTAAACCATTGTCCTAGATCAGTGATTGGCATTAATGGCTTATATATTGTTTCCCCTGTTGTAGTAGCATCCTTTGTTAGTCTATCCACTATTTCATTTCCGTTAATTCCATAATGGGTCTTAATCCAAACCAAAGAGATTTGTTTACATTTATTCGTAAATGACTGGACCGCTTCTAAAATTCTTAAATCACTACTGATGAAGAGCTTTAACCAGATGT